TTTTTCTGAAGACGTTGAAAAATATATTTTCTGCTTTCGATTGCAATGTACGATTTCATGAATATCTTTGATTGAAAATTGGGATAGACGAAGTCAAATGATTTTTTTTCCACGTTGAACGAATAGTTTTAATATATCCTGTGTTTGAAATGATAATATTAACGGTACCAATTTTTATGCATTAGAGGCGCAAATCGACAATAAATGTCTCTTCGGTGATGCCCTAGGCCAAAATGTAGGACCACTAATATTGATTTTGTTGTTTGTCTTTTGATTGTATTTCGTTTTGTTTTTGTCATGAAATAGTCAGATCGTTTTCGACTTAAGAGTTATAATATCCTTTTGATTTCTTTCGCCTCTCTCTTAAAGAAATGGATAAGACACATTTCCATTAAGTTTACAATTATTTTGTTAAGACAATCAAATACTAATGAGGATGTGAATTGGCGATTGAACTGTCATTTTGACCTTTCAGAGAACTGAGATTCTTTATATAAATAGAAGTTCCTCAAGTTTATATCAAAGAAAGGTTTTATCGGAACAAGCGTTACATTGTGGTTTGTGAATTATCCACGGTGCAGTCCAATACAGAAGGTTATCACTATGACTGTAAAAGCCGCGATCAAGTTAATCAGCCATTTGAATGCACATAGTGTTGAAAAGCGCATATTAATCCAAACTTTCTGTTTTGCATTTCTGAAGAAATTAAAATGAATACAATAACTATGAACTATAGATAATGCTTTAGCGTGTACAGTGTAAAAGAGAGGCAAAAGATACCAAAGGGATATATAACTCAAAGATCGAAAACAAACTGACAGTACCTTGGGAAAAACAAAAAATGACGAAAAGACAAACAACAGTAAACAAAACACAACATCGGAAAAAAAAAGAATGAGGTACTCAAAACTCTCAAAAACTGGAGGTGACCTCAGGTGCTCTTGAAGGGTAGCAGATTCTGCTTCACATGTAGCATCCTTACTGTTGCTCATAAAAGAAATAAATTGCTTCGCCGAGCGCAGTTGGATACGACCGCAGAGGTCCAACCCTGAACAGTTGGGGCAAAAATGGACACAATATTCGCGCTTGATACAGGTCTGAATTTAGATTGTAATTAAATATTTGACACATAATAGGTTTCTGACACAGAATAATTATAGTCAAAGAACTTAGAATTGGTTATATGATTTGAATTTATATTAATTTTTTTGCTTTTGTGCAATAGAGTTTGCTGTTGCGAATTGACCCAAATGGATATTCAAATTTCCAATGCAGTTTGCAACCATAATTACCCATTTAAAAACATCATAAAAGTCTTAAAATAGAAAATGACATACGTAATCATGGCTAAAATTAATATTCCTTAATAGTAATTTCTAAAAATAAATTGACAGCTAATCATCTCAAGACAATACAACATTTCTGTATGCATAATTTAAAAGGAGTGTAAGGGAGGTAATCAAAACGTTGTGTTTGGATTACCTCCCTTCCACTGCTTTTGAATTGTCTTAAGTAATTGTCCATAAACCAGGAAACCTTTGATTTTCCCCCTTTTTGCCCCTAATTCCTAAACAGTTTGAGCCATAACCCCCCCCCCCCCCCCCCCCCCAATTAAATTCTAACCATCCCTTTGTCGTATGGAAACTTGTGGTATAATTTCAGAGAGATCTATACACCGTTCCACAAGTTATTGTCTGGAAACTAGAAAAATGCTTATTTGGGCCCCTTTTTGGCCTCTAATTCCTAAACTGTTAAGACCATAACCCTCAAAATCAATCCCAACCTTCCTTTTGTGGTAATAAACCTTGTGTTTAAATTTCATAGATTTAAGTTATTGTCCGGAAACCAACTGTCTTCGGACGACGCTGACGACGACGACGACGTGATACCAATATACGACCGCAAAATGTTTTGCAGTCGTATAAAAACCCAATGATAATTAGGTAGTTCACATTCGAGGAATAGAGGCAGGGGTATGAGTTTAAACAATTAGAATATATCCGTCGTCATATGTGAAACAGATATTCTATAACGGACAACCAACTTGTGATGTCATCCGTAACATTTTTGGAGGGATGATTTCAACGTCAACACATGGAACTCTTGGTCCAAAAGCTTCCTTGTAAGCAGCAATCGTCTATCAAGGAAATCAGGATAGGAAATACAAGCTCTGTATCGAATCAACTTTGGAGATATATGCCCCATATGCATGTGCTGCTGGAATGTTGCTGCATTGAAATCGAAAGCTCACAATTAGGAAGCTTAAATCATCTTTGATCTTTTGTCGTAAAGTTTTGTTCTCAGCCGACCCTTATTGTCAATTTGTGGATGTAAAGCAAGACTTGAGCCAGACTTATTGTATTTGCTGTATCCTTTATTTCAACTTTTATGGAATAGATGCGTTCAACATAGTCAACAAACTTTGAATTAATAAGTTTGAGGACATCATCTACATAGCGGAACGTGAAGTTAAAGGATAATGCTAGCTTCTTTTTGTTCTTCCTTTGAAGCTCCTGTATGAAAAAAGCCTGATATGAATAAGGGAACAATTCAGCAAGAAAATGAGGCACAGTTAGTTTCCATTGGAATGACAATTTTTTGTTGAAAAAGTAGTCCTCCAAACGTTTTAAATATGCTGTCAATCAAGAAATCAAGGATCTTGATAATGTCTGTTTCAGAGTATTTTTGATTTAAATCATATTGATTTTCACATAGTACGATTTTCATTTCCCTAAGACAATCTTCGTTGGTATTTTTTTTTAAAGAAGTGTATCATCTTACAAATAAACGAGGGACTCGCAAGAGATCGGCTGTGTCAATATGCGTCCCCTGCTTTTGCATGCTTTACCTTCCATTCAAATCAAGAGTCTTTAAAATGCCACGATATTCAAAGATTGCTTATACACAATCGACCAATTTTTTTTATTTGAAAAAGAGTGGATGGAACATATACGGTTTGGTGGATATTTTAACGTACTCTTCGAATATGGATTCGATCTTAAGCAAGATCAAGCTAGAGACAAAAAATGTGTTTCCGCAAAGTGAAGGCAAAAATTATTTGATAGGTTTGGCTGCACAATTTGACCTTGTGAACATGCTTTAAAAATACCACTAAACATATAGGTTAAATACAAATCAAGGAAATTTCATATTACATTTATTTTAGCATGGTATCGTAATGAATCTTTATGTTTGTATTTATATATATCGTAACTCCGCTGAAAGTGTTACAAGCACTAAAAAGACTCGTCCCCCAGTTGGTCATTTGTACCCAAATAGGTTTCCAGCAGTCAGTTGAATGTTGATAGTTTGGGATATCATATGATAAGATTTATTAGTGATTAGCCACATCAAAATCTCCCCATTCTTCCTTAGAGTAGTGTGAGCAGTTACAAGGCCTGACGTCATGGAAACAGACATCGAATAAACACCATCTGGTCTAACAGTAAACATACCTATATGGGGATCATACTCTCCTTGATTAAGAAGGATAATGCTGTATCTGACAATACTTTCTGGGGGGTATGGATGAACACCTAAAGGTAATGTCGCTGTAAATGCAGCTGAATAAAGATTTAAAAATCTTTAAAAATGTATAATATACACATAAACATAAGCGCATATACAGTTTTTCAGAATAAAAAAGGTATTACTCAATCTCTCAGACACTTTATCCTGCAATCAGCTTTCTATTATACCTCTTAATGTTCACTGTAAACTAGACAAAGTGATGCCCCCGCACTCCACTCTGAAGTATTTGTATTATAACAAAGTCAATGTAGTGCTTTCTTTGAGATATTATTGTGTCTGGAAGACTCAAATAATGCCCCCGCAGATTCAAAGTGTTATTTTAAAATACACAAAATTGAGCATGGGAGCACATAGGTCTATGGTTCACTGTAGGAGGAGTTATCCGGAAACTCTATGCACCTCTTATGCGAGTACATATTCCAAAATGACAAAGTTTAACTATCTCCCAAAAGAGCAAATATTAATAAAAATCAAAACCCTGACCACATGCACGCCTTCAATATATGTACAAACAGCCAGCAAAGTGAAAACTTCCTAGCATTCAAACTGTAGGAGGAGTTATGTTGAATAACTATATACCCATAATGGGACGGACGGACGGACAGGGGTAAAACAATATCCCCCCCCCCCAACTTTTAGTTGCGGGGTCATACAAATCCTAGTCCTTGAATATTCCCAGAATGTGTTCTGTTCGTACAAACGCATATTTTGTATTTGCTGCGTGAAAACAACACGTTATAAATTTCATGCGTCCGAAGCGCTTTACGTTACGAACCGTTGCAGCAGCTCTTTTATGGGTTGGTGGTCTTTTGCAAGGCAGAATTTCAGTCCCTATCCAATTTACCCTGATTTTCCACTGGCATTCCAAATTTCCCGCTCTTCATCCCGGTCGACCCCTATTACAGGACCTATACCTATTGTATGTACCATTGTTAATTTGTTCCCGTCCCGAACATGCATGCAATAACTACCACTGGACATTAAGCAATTAACAATCGATCATTAATATGATAGATATCTTAGCTTCATCAAATTATAGTACCTAAAATACAAAACTTTGTAGCATTGTTGCATACAGAAGTGTGGATATTTATAAGGTAGTGCTGTTTCTAGATCAGACGAAAAAAATTAAAAGATTTTCAGAACTTGTAGTATTGACAACTTAGCTATTCATTTATAGATTCTTTGATTTTTTTCTGTTGGGCTGCATAATATGTATTTGATGATGGTGTATTCAAGTTGTGCTGTCACTTGCTTTCATTTTGGTTTTTGGTAATTTCTCCAGTTTTCAATTGTATAATGTAAAATTAATATTAAATTATAGCTACGAATTGGCGCACTCATATGCTACATTTTTGGTTCAAATGATACTAGGTATTTAAAAACTGAGTGTCGAAACAGTTTTCTCCCCAAATAATCATGTAAACAAGCACATGGATATATATAAAGATAAAGAACAAAATGCATCAAACTATCAAAGCACATGTCACAATTACACATGAATTATGCACACATGTACATATATTTAAAATTTACAACATGAATGGTCACATTTTACGACGTTTACTTTTTAAAATAACAGTTCACTTCGGTATTTAAAAAAAATCAATAAATGCATCTTATTTCATTTATTCGTTTTTTAGCTTTCTTATCATTTTCTTTATTATTCCATTCCATTTTTAATAAAAAAAAAAAAAAGGGAAATTTAAGGGGAAAAATAATTTTTACCTTAACAGTAACCTTTTCATACTAATTTAAAAATTTTGTTCTAAAACAACAACCGTTCACTTAAACAACATCTATTCAATTTATTCTGTTGGCATTGGAATAGATATTTATTAAAATGTAGACATTCCGGGAAGACACCTCTTCATCAAAGTCAAATTTTTTGAACCCTTGTTGATTAATTTTTCCGATTTTGAAGCCCTCCACTGGTTTGCAGGTGACACACATAAAATGTTTCTAACATATCTTAGTTGATAATTGCAAATAAATATAAGAGAACAGTAACATGTATTGTAAGGTTAAAGAATGATATGATTGACATTAGAATTGACTCTATTTGAATATATAAAGTATTGTTTTTGTGAATAGAACTGCGAAATCAAATACAGCTCTCGCATTGAGACATAAACCTAATGACGCAAAAAAAAGTAATCTCTTAAATTAATTAAAATACGTTACATAGCATGTAGCAAAAAGGGCAAATAACTAATTTTCTACTAGTAAAAATAAAAAGCAAACTTGATGGTTAACATGATCTACATCTACATCGCACAACAAGCCATCAGCACATTAATGACTATACCTCGGCGAGGCATATGGTAAATAAATGCAAACTACCATATTATTTAGAAATAATGAAAAGTGTGCTGTTGAAAATTGATAAGACAGGTTTTTTCTTCAGTCTATACTGAAAAACATGTCATTATACCTTTTAATCCTAGGTCATCCATAAACCGAGAAATATTGTGACTAGTCACACATAAACGACGTACTAAGACAGTCCTGGCGTTCTATACACCTACCATAATAAAATGAGATCTTTAGATGGCAAACTGGTATTGTTTAGTGTTATTATTGTTGTCCAATCGTTATCAAACGGTACTGTCCAGTTGGGTTCAAACTAGATGACGTAAAGATACATTTTTAAAATTATTTAAGACGGATACAACCCCTTCCTAATCGTCAAGTGAAGACTTATTAAAAACTTTATAAACAATCGAACAAGGGCTCGATTCAGTAGTGTTTGTTCAAACTGCAGTCTTTCCGGAATTTGGTACTGTTGTGTACCATTGAACGAAGTATCTAATTGAAACATTTTAAAAAATATATCATAAATGATTAAAAATTATCAACTGAATTTAAAAACTTTGAAAACTATGTATACTTGAAAGCAATTTTTATCTCGACTGCTTATAAATAGTCTAAAAAGTACAATACAAATATTCCGTACTTTTGCAATCTGTTATGATAATAAAGTATCAGTAATAAATCCAGGGGTTTACACAATCATTTCGTTACAAAACTACACATGCATTTCCCATTCCCCATGTAACAAGTACCATGCCATTTCCAGCTGTAGTATACGACTGACTTCCACCTTTACCCACTTGTATATCTACAGTACGATGCTCTGGATACCCGTCTTTATATATCATATTGCAGGAAATACCCCCATCGCCACCTGACCATCCACTATTTCCTTGACCACCAACACCAAATTCCATTCCGTTTGAATCACACAAACTTGTGTATGTTTTTCCTCTTTTATCGTCAATATCACTTTCATTTATCTTGCAGCATGCACAGCGCCTTTTACTAGTTGGTGAATAGTCATGCTGGCTACGGAGAAATGTTTCCATCCTATCAACTTTATTACAGTTTTTGATTGTGCTACAGCTGTTTTCTTGACCTCCATCTTTGCCATCGTACACATTGCCACCGCCACCTTTCCCACCTATTCAGGAAAACAAAGTAAAATAAAGATCAATTTAATTCATAACCAGTAGCTCATTGGTAAACAATAACGTAACTGCAGCATGTGGACAAGGAACTGCTTACCTATTTACACTTTTGGTGCACATATAGAAGTTCATTATGGATTTTTTTGTCGGATCGTGCTTAATTTGCGGTGTTTTATTGGACGCAGCATGTTGCATTCTGTATTTGTTTAGATGTTGTTTACCTGCTTATTTATACTTCTGTATTTCAAGCCTTGCATAAATTAACAATTTCTCAATGTAGAGAAGTAAGTACACTGGTATAAAAAAAGGACTTAGAATGAACAGTTCACAATCAATTTTCAATAACGTATGAATATTTTTTAGCAGTAAACATCAGGACCACTAACTCTTTTTAAGGTTTAGTAAATTATATATCAACTGATTAAATGTTTAAACATATTTCAAAGTAGAATAAAAAAAAACCCATAAATCTACCCTTAACATCTGAACTATTGTAGTATGTACTTATATAAAAAAATCAACGTTTGCTTGTTTGTTAAGCAAGCCATACATGCTTTATTTACTTTTGAAAACATAAAACCCAGCACCTTTATAATGTGCCCGTCTCAATCCAGAAACCTCTAACGCAGTGGTTGTCGTTAGATGCTGTTTGTTATATATGTTTTTTGTTAATTGTTTAGACCTTAATCATGCCGTTTGTTTTGTCTCTTTTGAATTGTTTCACATTTGTTCATATCAGCGCCTATTATAGCTATGAATTCATTGTTGAAGGCCGTACAGTAACCCATAGTTTTTGCTTAGACTCTGGGGAATAGTTAAATTTGAGAATGGAAATGGGGAATATGTCAAAGAGACAACAACCCGACTAAAGGGCAGACAACAGCCGAAGGCCACCAATGGGTCTTCAATGCAGCGAGAAACTCCCGCACCCGGAGGCGTCCTTCAGCTGGCCCCTAAACGAATATGTATACTAGTTCAGTGATAATGGACGTCATACTAAACTCCAAATTGTACACAAGAAACTAAAATTAAAAAAAACATACTAGACTAACAAAGGCCAGAATCTCCCGACTTGGGACAGGCGCAAAAATTCTTGTCTCTTTCCCAATCATACCGCAAATCTTTGTTCTAATATTGAAACACTGAAAAAACAGGTTGTTTACTCGTTGTTATTATCTATCTCATGATTTGATTGACTATATTTTACTGTTCAATAAGTCGTAGAAAAGGGTAATATATTTTTTTTGTGCCCACATACCAAAAATAAATTTATAATGTCATAGTTCTTTATACACACTTAGTGATATTTTCTGTAATTCAATTGTTAACGGTTGATCCAGGATTGAATAATTGTATTTCGGAGTGATTTCTTCATGTAAGGATCATACTTGTCTCGTATCTAAAATGATTGCATCATTTAAAGCGTATTCGCAATGAGGAAAATAACACCGGCAAAGATATGACACCTTTTGATGTCCTCCTTAACATTTATATTTTTCACACTGTTACATAAGAATATATTCTAAAGTATGTTTGTTTTGTGTATTACCTCTCTGTAATGTTCCACCTTTACCACCTTCAGCAAAAACATCGAGAAACATCGAGTCCTCTCCACGACCAGCATGGTCCACACTAAGTAATGTTGAATTGTCAAATCCTCCTCCACCACCTCCTATAACGACAACTGACAAAGTCATCATTTCAGGTGAAATGTAGAATTGGCCATTCTCTAAAAATAACTTCCATCCTTTGTCTTCCGTTCCATGAATTTCCCCATCTGAAATATTAAAATACTAGACTAGAACTTTCCTAATAACATAAATACGGGGGACTCCGTGGGCAAGTGGTCTAAGTAGTTCAACTACTGTATCACTAGCCTGTGAAATTCATGTCACGTGATGATTGCTGTTGCATAATTATATTAATAAATCCGCCATTAACGATGTTGCATCGAAGAATACTAATTATCTTACCTCCTATACATTTCTAGGAATATGATTGGTTAAAAGCAACCGCGTGAAGACCGTGTATATTCCATTTTGGGTTAGTAGGCGGGGCTTATTTCAATACACGGTTAGTAGCGGTGTTACGTCCCTTTATAAAAACAACACGGTGTTGAGGAAAAAACTTAAAGGTTTCAACAGACAAAGAAATTGATGATGAACTATTGAAATAAATTCATAAAACACATTTAAAGCTAACAAGTTGTTATTGTTGGCATTTGTTTTTGTATAGACCAATAGAAGTATAGGTTCTTAATATTAACGGTATTGAAGATTTGATCACTTTGATAGGTCACTAGTCTAAATGCCACATATTAAGATAGTCGGTAAGATAAATTCGTTACATAGTGTGCTAGTGATCTTATACGATATATATGGGGTCAGTAAATTCCATATGGGGATTCGAGCTTCGCTCTGACCCCATATGAAATTTACTGACCCCATATATATCGTATTAGGTCATTAGCACACTATGTAACTAATATTATATTTGTAAACAATAATCTGAAATTTCTGGAGAAATCAATGAATGCAAGTATGTAGTATTATTATCCGATAGCACAAAAAAAAACCAGAAAATTCATATTACAAATACCTAAATATCGCAAAAAATATGGACAAAAGAAAACCACATTAGGTACAGCAAATTTGAAATCTAGAACATTGATATTTATTTATCTAAATGAAGGTGTCATATTTTTAGCACTTCATGGCTACTTTTGTATAATATCATGTCCTTTCATCGTAGACTTACATATCATTATTTTGAATAAATAGTATCGACTAAGTGTTTATTTAAGAATTGATTGCATATGTTTGTAGTGTTATTGGTGTGTAAAAGGATTGACCGAAGCACATTTTGTGTGAAGCGCGGAGCAATGGCGGTTGTGACTTCATATTAACGATTCGTTCCGATGCCCAGTCATGTACATAATGTGTCTCAGCTCATGGCCGGCGTCGTTCATACACTGAATAACTGTCGCTCGCAAACAGTGAGCGGTGCAGACCTAACTACATTTTGTATTCTTGCAAATATCAGACATGAAACCGCTGTATGTGCGCTTTACCAAAGCTTGGGTTGTATACCACACGCTTACACCTCTGCTGACATCTTAGTCCTTTACAATACGATTCAATAGGGATTTGGCACATGGGTCTGTCCTTGCTTTGAGTTCTTTCAATGCAGAAAGTGGACAAAATTTCTTGTCAGTCACATTAAACTACATAAACTTGTCTGAAGGGGCTTCTTCAATTGAAACTCCACCCTGGATGTTTTTCTTGGTTTTTCATGATTTATCATGACGTTATTCATCCCCATCTGCATCAATTTTGAAATCAAAAGAGTTTAAGTTCAACTGGTGATGAAACTGTAAACCCCTCGACACAAATGGTATGTCAAGACAATACCACACTTTTATTCTTATATTATCAATATTTATTGTAAAGCAACGCTCAGACACATATATGTGTAACATGAGGTAAATATACAATAATAAACATGATTGATAATAAATGGTAACATTTAAAAACAAAAACAAATAAAAATCCAAACAAATCAATATACATATCACAATAAGTTATTTAGCTTTCTAATAAAAGATGACACCTGTCTGTATAAATAAACATTGCAATAAGATAACATAACAGATAATTTCTGCTTGCTTGGATGCTTTGTATAATAACTAGGAATATGTTTTTCTCTAAAAATAACAAGTTGGGTAGACTTGCATATACAAAGATAGTGAAATTCGTCTCCTACATTTTCTTTACATATTATTATGTGACATTTTCGGTCCTCCGCCGGAATATATAGAACAGAATCTTTAATATGTTTGAAAATGCATGTGTTAATAAACCAGAGGTCTTCAAGCTCTACAATGTCGTTATGTTTGGTTGGGCGTGAAATTCCAGTTGCAACCATCATTTTGAGGATACTATCTAGTATAATATGTTTCTTGGTCTGAATTCGTTGTCTTTTACGATATCAAAATCTCTATTAATGTCTTTTAAATGCCTGTGGAGAGCAGCTCTCACAGTTTTCGGGGTATTTTTGTGATATACGCCTGCATGTTCATGTGTCATAGATTGCGCCCTTTTTTCTGGATTTTTTGGTTTTGCCTCGGCATAAAAATGTCGAAGTTTGTTGGTGAGGTCAATTTTAGTGACACAGTTGAAATCTAAGTGACGACCTGAACTTTCAAGAAACCTTTCTGAAAAACAAAAAAACTAATATTATACTGTATGCTTCAACAAATCTGACTTCATACATGTATTCAAAAATAACTGCGTTAAATGTTCATTTCATATAAATACATGTATGTTATTTTCACTGACAACAATCATAGCATGGCTATCTTTAATGAGGGTGGTAAAGGATTATTTTCATTCAACGTGTTTTGCCTTTTTTATTTCAAGTGCCTGAAGTGCTTCTGTTCATGAAGCTTATTATTCAGTGTTTTCTGAAATTGGTAAAAAAAAAAGCACCGTGCAAGGATTTTTTATTTTTCGTTCATCATGACATGGTCATTTTATTGGCTTTGAGCGTTCCTGATGAAGGTAAATCCAGAAAAGCGCTTCGGACGCATGAAATTATTCAACGTGTTGTTTTCAATTTTTTACAGCACTGGGTCGATACCTCTGCTGGTGGACTATCAGTCCCCGAGGGTATCATCAGCTCAGTAGTCAGTACTTCGGTCCTGACATGATTTATAACAAACCTCTCTAAAATTGTCCGTTTATAAATTTTGAAATTATAAAGAAAACTAAGGTTTCAACTCCCTCAGGCAAAGTTGGCCTTAGATGAATTTGGCTATTTTTTTAGGTATAGCTCTTCAATTGTTTCGGTACTTTTACATCCCTCGGATTTCAAATGTTTGGTTTTGAGCGTTCCTGATGAAGGTAAATTCAGAAAAGCGCTTCGAACGCATGAAATTATTAAACGTGTTGTTTTCAATTTTTTATTTCTCGTTCATCCGCGCATTTTCACCCCCTTTACGATCTTCTTTAATAAGACATTTTGTTTCAAAATGATAACATTACATGTATGTTTTATGAAATCTGTAATTTCTTACAATTATCACAAGAAAATCTAAATTTTGAATTTAATTTTCAATTGAAGGGGGTCTCATTGGGGGGGTTCTGATCCCGGATCCCGCTTACTGTTTTGTCAGATTCCCGCATCCCGCTTACACTATGTACGTAAGCAATTCTCATTTTTTTGTAATTTCCCGTGTCCCGCTAGACTTCATTTCCCGTTTTCATGGCACAATAATTTGACTTTCACGTGTCACGCTTACAAAAAATCGGCAATCCCGCGTCACGCTTAGACCCCAATGAGACCCACATTGAACTTGATAAAAATTCATCATTCATGATACTTGTATGTACATGTAGCAGTAGCATGTTCTTCCAAGACAAAGTCTCAACAATGCATTGGAAAATAAACCAAATATTTTTTAATGGATCTCTTAGTTTCATATGTCTAGCAGAAAAAGTAACTATAATAAGAATTGAACTTGTTGAATGGATTATTGCATCTTTTTGCAATACATGTTTTATATACATGTAGTGTTGTGAAGGTGTTGATAGTGCACACATTTTAAGTAGAAGCATATTAAAAGTTATTTAGAAACAATTATGCCCCAATAAAATTACAAAAATAGGTATTCAATTCTAAAAAAATGATTTTAATAGATACTGCTTCTTTTTGGAAATTTAAAGGGTTGTAAAAAGCCTTTATTGTGTGCACTTTTTAAGTGTAAAAATAATTAAGAATTGAATGCTTTTTTGTACATAGGGTTGTAAAAGTGTTGAAGCTTTTATAGAAATTGTGCTTTGGTCAATGCTTTTACACCTCAATAAAGTTAAAAAAGAAGCATTAAATTATGAATTCTTTATATTGGTTAGCTTTCTTATTACACACACCTTGGTAGTATAATGGCTATTATAACTGTTGCTAGGGTTAACGTTTAAGAAAATTATCCAAGGTTTTTGGGTTTTTTTTTGTTATTTTTTTTTGCCACTATACATTGCTGTTCTCTGGATACTGTAAATTCAGAATTTATTGCAATGTTTTTATTATTCCGAAAAATTCGACTGGGTTGAAATTTCAATAATTCCACATTATGGAATATTTTGTATGAATGAAGCAGGATTTTTCTCAATATCGCAAAAACATAAATCGCATTTTGGTCTAAAATGACGAAATCTCAATTATAAATGTGTGGAATAATTTCTAAATATACAGCATTTAAGAAGTTATAAGATATAAAAATTTTAAGAGCATTTGTTGATTTTGATAATCACATTTTAGGCAATTTCTATTATTAAACTTCATGTCAAAATGTCAGGTTATGATTGGTTGGAGACAATTTACTCTATCCCATGGCAAGCACTCTATTACCCTTCACGGAGACGCTTGATCAAGTGTGCGCTTTTATTAATATGGATGATTGTTATGTACAAGACGTCACAGTTTATTTCTTTGAATTTGAAATTTACTAGACAGCAATAACAGAACATTCAGTATAATAAATTAAATAACACATATCTGAGAGGGTGCTAGAGCTGATTGTTACCCCTCTAAAAGACATTGTCAACCTTGGCTTCGCCTCAGATGACAATGTTTTCTCGGGGTAACAATCTGCTCTATCACCCTCTCAGCTATGTGTTATTTATATAATATCTCATAGCTCAATGAAAATAGACAGAAGTTACCAATTTTTATGAGTTTAATTTTTTTTTTTAATTAAACAAAATGCATTACAATCTATTCATATAAACGCACCCTGAAACACTTTTACTCCCCATTTTGTGTTCAGTTTTGTTAATTTGGACTGATGGAAGTGACTGGAGTTCATCCTCTTCCATTGGCTTGAATCTTTTAGGGTAAGATGGCAACACAGAGTTCTGGGTTTGTAGGCCAGCTGATGGACCTGGCTGAATTGTTTCTTGTGGCTCAGATGGTGGTAGGTTCTGCTCCAGAATAAGCTCAATTTCTGTGTCTAGTAAATCAACAGGTTGCAGCTCAAAAAGGCCTATGTTAGCTAGTATATATTCTTCATTGTCAGATGATATTTCTGCTTGTAGATTCACCAGATATTTACCCAGACTGTCCTGATCAGATATTGTTGATGCGAAAACTTGCTATTAGCAGACGATTTATCTAGTATTAACTTCCGATATCAAAACACCAGTTAGTTCTACTAACGATCTATACGACAACATGTCTTTATTTGAGTTATTGATATATTTATTATTTTGTTGGATTTTTAAAAACAAACTTTATCAATTATGAAAACGACAACTCGGAAACGTGTAAATTACATTGTCGGCATTTGTGTGCATTTGTGTACTCGATCAATAAGAAAGCAGTCCCGGTAATTGTAACTGTTATTTGCTCATATAGTTTCAATTTCATAGGATATTGACCAATCAGAATGTAAGACTGATATGAAATTTACATCTAATGTAAATAAAAAGAAATCAAATTTATCGCTTTGGTTGTTATTCCAAATCAGATCAATAATTGTGCCATAGGATCACTGCCATAATTTGGAAAGTAATATAAGGTTAATTGCACAAATATTCCTCCATATAAATATCTCTCCATATTAGAGTAATAACCCTTATAAAGTACCAAAATGTGTTAGCAACATTGTTGTTACTTCATCCAATTCATACAGCTATGATGTCTGCAGTAAGGACGCAATAGACATTTATGCCATCTTGCTTTTCTCTGGTTTCGTTGCGTGCTAATATCGTTTTGCTCGGAACATCTATTATAGTGCGTACCAAACTTAAAGAAGAAAGTATTGTTCATTCGATAAAGATGCAATATTTTACAGCTAATCGGAAACGCTCTACATTTTAGCTATAATTATAAAATTGAACAGCAAAAACATCGGCGAATATTAAATTTGTATTTCTGTAAGAAATTATTGACAACATGATATCATAATAACAAATATTATAAAATGTACTATCAGTCCTTCAATAAAAAAAAAAAAATAGCGTGAAAAACCAAACCATACCTCTTACACACATCGGCAGATTTGTCCAGTTTCCATTAATGCATCGTATAGGGCTACTTGGATTTTCAAGATGAAGTCCTCTTTTACAAGACACGGACAATGTGTATCCGTTATATACCATGGTTCTTCTTCTTGCATTAATAACTTCTACATTTTCACCCAAAGTATGTGGTATTATACAGAATCCTGACATAAAATAATAAAAGTGTACACATGTATAATTGTTAGCGTGTCCAGTTGTTCAGTGGTTGTCGTTTGTTGGTGTGGTTCATAGATGTTTCTCGTTTCTCGTTTTTTATATAGATTATACCGTTGGTTTTCCTGTTTGAATTGTTTTACACTAGTCATTTTGGGGCTCTTTATAGCTTGCTGTTCGGTGTAAGCCAATGCTCCGTGTTGAAGGCCGTATTTTGACCTATAATGGTTTACTTTTCATACATTGTGACTTGGATGGAGTGTTGTCTCATTGACACTCATACCACATCTTCTTATTTCTATGTCTGTATGCAGATAATTCTGAAATTGCAATAATTTAGTTCATTTTTAGTTATATTCTTAATTTGTCTTTCAATTTCAACTTTGTTTGAATCCCACGATTCCATACAAGTATATCGTACATTAAAACATTTCAGTGAAATCGACCTATTGTTTACATAGGTACGAAAGTAGATCTATCAAAATGTAAACCAAGGAAAAAATTCTAACGGATTAATCTCATTTAAGTATTGGGAAATACATTGAATGGAAATCATATAAGAATTATTATTTCAGTGAAAACTTACAGAAAATACCGCCTTATATAGTACATACATGTACATTCATTCATAAAAAATATTCAAGATACTTCAAAACTGTCATCTCTGCTTGTGTTTTTAATGCGAAGCATAATTATCAATCGGATTACAAGACTCCGTATAAGAACAAGTAAAGCCTCTCTTCTTTAGACAAATAGCTTTGTTTAATCTTCAAGTTATTTATTGGCAATATCCAAATTAAAACTATATAAGAACTCAATTACACTTAAATAACGGCATGATTATGATATACCGGTATGTGACGTGAATGTGTTCTAAACTCTTGAAATCAGTAAAATATGGAACATTTTTAATTTTGTTAACGAACAACAGAAAAAGTTCAGAAACATGCAGGTCACTATGTCCTTGAATTATTTGCTGAAGATTTTTTTTTAACATTTTGGTCAAATTATACAGTCATTGATAGTGTTCAATTTTACTTTTGATCTGAAATCGAGACATCAAGGTTCAATGATTGATTGTTGGTCACTTAACGTCCAGTGGCAAATATTTCATGCGTGTTCAGGACGAGAACAAATTAAACCATAATAAGTAGGCCTAGTAATGGAGGTCGTCTGAGATAAAGGGGGAAATTTGGACTGCTATTAGAAAATGAGGGTATATTGACCACCGTTTGAAAGCATAGCTGTGATTTAAGTTGATGATAAGAAATAAAAGGGTTTTTCCCTCAACACAATATGTCTAGAAATACAATCTGTTATCATCTGGATAATTTATTACAGACTGGAACTGGCACAGGGTTAGCTGATCCGAAACAAAGTATATCGTACTGTGAATTACAGAATCCAAGCTCCCTATGAACTCTTTACATCGATTTTCATTCATTGTAAACGAAGTTATTTTTGCAGATACTTTTTTGTCGTGTTTACAATTTTTAAGCAATTAATTTTCAGGATTAAGGTGTTGATTTCAGATCCCTATTAGTCTCATCTATTAAAGGCGGTTTAAAATTTGTCATATTGTGAAGACACCTGTCAATTGTCAAATGTAAAGCCAGTATGCTAATATTTTCGCCAATAACTATATTCGCGCTATTTTTCTATTCACAAAATTAAGGTGATAAAAATAAATCACAGGCGAAATTGGGTTATTTAATTAGTTTGACAGTATTTCTTGAAACATATTGAATTTGCTATTTACAATTTACCTGTTGAGATATGATTGTTTACAAAATTTTCAAAATCTGTTAAACAGTTGTCATTGCCAAGGCACACACCGTCACACTGGCTGCATTTGATATCACGTACTACAAGTAAAAGATGTGCACTATATATGCAATGGATGTTCACAAAAAGATCTTGATATTCAGCCTAAAATGCATGAAGTCGACTCGTAATCGTATTTCACTTGTAACCGTACTTCATTTGATGTGTTCTTTCTAAATATGCATGGGATATTTGCCACTTGACGTTAATATACAACAATTAATCAATCAACCAAAAGGGTTGTAGCAAAATTTGACTTGCTATGTAATCGTATGAATTGATGTGAGAGTCGGAATAAAACAATCATTTTTGGTCAAAAGATAGCTTGTGGAATAATCCCGTGATCGTATTTGATTATTCTACTATCATAATTCACCCTACATACATAAAAAAAAAGGCGATGAGGTATGATTGCCAATGAGACAACTATCCATCAGAGCTCAAATGAAGTGGGCGTGTTCTCTATTTTGCTACCAATTAAAGTATAAAGTGTTATCGATATCTTTTCAATTATAATTATATATCTATAAGCATTTCATATAACTCAGAATGTCAGTATGTAAATATTTTCGCCTTTAACTATATTCGCGCTATTTTTTTTATTCACTAAAGTTTTACAGACTTATATATAATATGTATTTTTCACTAGTTAGTAACTATGATCTTTTCTGTAATATGTATTTTTATTTCTGTCTTGAAATGAACACACTATTCAAACCTTTTAAATCGAATTTGAAAAGATCAATCAGCGTCATTCCTGATGGTGCATATAAATCTGTAATAGTTGTAGCAATCATATAACTAGAGGTATCCATCTTTTCGTGCATTTCAGTTAGGTTAAATCTGAAAAAAATACATTCAACGCAATAAGTTTTCCCATTTGAATCGTGTTTTACATTTTGTTATGTCGTTGCTTTGTAGTTGACTAGACAGTTTGGGTATTGCTTATTCTTGAAGGCTGTGCAGTGACCTATATTTGTGCTTACATCCATGTCAATTGGGTCACTGGTGGATAGTTGCCTCATTGTAAATCATACCACATCTTCTTATTTTCAAAATGCACGGAACACGTGGAACAGCTATATGTATGACTGGTGTTGACCGATAAAGTGTTTTTGTTTAGATTCCCGGTTTAGGTTCTTAATGTCAATAAAGAGATTGATTGCAAATCTTTGATAGTGTTTGAAATCAACAGCTTTCTTTTAACATAATGGCTGTTTAGAGTATGGCATGGTGTAGACACTTGTCAATTGAAAGGTCTGTATGTTGACCTGTAGATGTGACTTGATTTTTCTTGTTTTTTTGGTTTTCTGTCTTTTTTTACGTTTACACTGTAAAATGTGTTGACAATTAATTGGTGTCCTTTCAAACAGATAAGTAATTTGGTTTGTACTGCATTAACATGACAAATGAACACGACTGTATATACAATTAGTCAGCATTCCCACGTTTACTGATCCATGATTGAAATACACTGGAATAAAATACAGGCTAGTGTTAACTCATTGCAGAAAAATGTGAAACCTAACTCATTTGTATGTTATCACATGCAAGATTCAAATATTGATTTTTATGGAGTTTTTTTAACACCACTTTCAGCACTATGGACTATTTGGTGTCGACCCGTTTCTATTGTTGGAGGAAGTCGTAGTGCCAAGAGAGAACCACTGAGCCTCAAGAGGAAAGCTGGTAATCCTGGTCAATTAAGAATAGAGTCGAACGCCCCTGCCATGTGCAGGGCGCGAACTTACAACCTTAGTGTTGACAGGCTTGTGGTGTTCGGGAAAGATACATGTAACTGTTTAATTACCTCATTATTCGACCATTCTTTACATCAGAAACGAACATGTACTTGTTTCTGTAAAGTTCAAGATCTCTCATTTCCATTTCATGTAAATATCCATATAGCATTGTAGATGGGTTACCAGACGTAGTATTGAGATGTTTTACAGTGTTGTCATAACTATCGATCCAATATAGATCTAAGATTAAAAACAAACGAAAAACAAAAAAACATACAAATCATACAAATAAGACAAAACATACAAAACATACAAAAAATAACCGTAAGTAGTAGCTCAACAATTTAAACTGTTCGGGACTAAACAAAAACACGTGCATATTCGGGACGAGAACAAAACTAAAAAAAAATCAAAGGAAGATTCTGCAAAAATGTGTTCCGGATGAAGACGAAAAATTTGGAATGTCACTGGAAAACAAATGTATGCTGATTTCGGCATGTAACATGGCTGCATTTCTATGCATCTCGTGTCATGAAACGGACGCCTTAAATGTGGGCAGAGGTATCCAACAGAAAGAGGAACTGCATTGACCAATTTCTATACTATTACATATCATTACAATACCAAAGCAGATTACACAAATATATAATTTGGGAAATTGAATATATAACCCTTCTCTATCTCCATACTTGAAGTAATGCAAGTAGCAAAAAAAAAAAACTAATACAGGAATAATTTTAGATATCGTTGAAACTAAAAATAAGATGAACAAAAAAGTAATGCTTTATGAATGTGATTTAATACTGACTAATTGGATGTCATATATGCCGTTAGTAGGATTTTTAAAAGAAGCTTGGTAATTTTTCTCATAAAAAAGCGCATAAGTACATATACCCTAACTACAATGTTTTACTTGATTACTCAAGTGAGTGTTATGTCATAAAAAAAAGTTCAATCTCAACATTTCACATTCGGTTTAGTTACAAGGTTAAAAAATTTACATGACGATGGTTGAAAATTTGGTGATGTCTTAAGGTTTAGAGAAATGTCAATTATCAATTCACTATTGCGTGATTTCTAATAACTTGATATAACGTATCATCATATTTTATAGGAGTAACACGACGGGTGTGACAGGTGGAACAGGGTCTGTTTACCCTTCCGGGACAAATGAGATCACCCCGGTTTTTGGTGAGTTTCGTGTTGCTTAGTCTCTAGTTTTCTATGTTGTGTTTTGTAGACTAGTTTGTCCTTTTGTCGTTTTTCGTTTTTTTGCCATGGCATTGTCATTTTGTTTTCGACTTATGAGTTTGGATATCCCTTTGGTATCTTTCGCCTCTATTTCATGAAAAATAAATTAAAAAAACTCGTTTGCACCAAAAACAAGTATACTGTAGAACTAATAGTTATGTAAAATACAAAGGAAGACAGTTTGAAGACTTTCATTTTGAATATTTTTAACAATGACAATAACTCATGCGCTGTTGAATCATCCAATGACATATCATGGTTCTCAAAACTAATTAAAAATATCAGTTATTTTTATTATTCACAAACAGATTTAGATAATATAAAAATAAGAAAGTGTGTATGATTGCCAATGAGATAACACTCCACCAGAGACAATATGGCGTAGAAGTACGTACATGTAACTATAGGTCACCGTAAGGCCTTCAACAATGAGCAAAACCCTAACCGCATATAGCAATCAATAAAGGGTCCCGAAATGTCAAATGAAAACAATTAAATCTTAAAAAACTAACGACCAGATTTATATAAGAAACAAAAAACAAATATGATATACAAGAAACAAACGACAACCACTGAGTTACATGTTCCACATTTAAGACAGGCACATACAGAATATGGCTGGGTTAAGCATGTTAGCCGGCGCCCAACCCTCTCCTAACCTAAGTGATGTAACAGCAGAACATTAGAACTGGGCTTAAGGATGTTCGCTACTCTGTTTCAAAATAACAAGCTTTTTAAAAGAGTGTTATAAATTATTAGTATATATATAAAGGAACTTAAAAAGTAGAAAAAAATGAAGGGTCCCTGTGCTTGTTTTCGAGATATAAGCCATTGAAAATTTGGCGGGAAATAATTCTCTCTAGATGTTTCATACATTTAACATTGGTACCTTTTTTCTGTCAAAAACGATGAAAAAATAACAAGGATTTAATAAGATTTTCAAAGATGACATTTTAAACTATGTGTGTTCAAATTATAGAAAGAAAAGAAGGGTTAAAGGGCAAATTTTTTTTAATGGCACTACATGGATAAAACCAGAGGATTCCGAACATCTGACAAAAATTCAAAAACCCAGAGTAGCGGACATCCTTAAGTCATCAGAACGACACAAAGCACAAAAACACGTAAGACACAACAGTACAGATCTGAGAGAACTCACAGTTACTGAAAGCTATTTCAAAGCCAATTACATGTGCAACTAATAAAAAAACAGGTAGCTAAGACTACCTTAACTGTTCCTACCTTTTTCATCAAGATAAACCCCTCTTGGTTTTACTGCTTCATCTGTTACTCCGATTGTCTTTCCACTTCCTATAATACTACTGACAATTCTTGGAAAACTTCCGTGTTTTGATATGTATATTTCCGGATAATTACTGTAAAATCGTATCTCATACTTATGTAATTTGATTGAATATCAACTTTTAAAGAAGATGATATGATTAGTTAAAATGAATTTCTTTAGAGAACTTGTCCTATTTTTAAAATGAAAACTCCTAATTCAATTTCTAAAACGTTACTTCAACAACATTTATAATCAAATGAATATTATCTCTTTTCGAAATTTATCAATTATCTCGTTAAAAGGTATGGTAATAGATTTGCCGTTAAGAGCTGAAATAATAAGAACGCTTGGGATGATTAATGGTATTGCATGGCAAAAGTTGATAGTACTTACTTGTGTGTATGGAGATGAAAAGAAAATGGATGGAAATGCTCCTCTTGTAAAATGTACTTATATGTCAGTGATGGAATGTGTAACACGCCTATTCTATGGAAGGAAAAATCACTGAAGAACGCCAGACGTAAATCACTGTCTATCTCTATTGCTGTGGAATCTTCAGGAGGAAAACAGAACTTTAATTTGTTAATACGCGTTATATATTTTAATAAATGCAAATTAATGGTTAACATACTAAAAGGAGAGCAAATTAGCATCCTGCAAAAAAAAAATTGTTCCTTGAAATTCGTTGGTGTTGCTTAATTTGTGTTTTTTCTTTTGTATTTCGTGCACTGTAATTTGTCTGTTTGTCTTTTTTTATCAAATGGTGATTTTTTTCTGTGTATCTTCTGTTTTGCAATGGTGTTTTTTTTTAGTCAATTTCGACTACTGTTGTTTTATTGCTCCTTGGTATGTTCTCCACTGTTCGGTGGACATTGGTAGAAGCTTTTGTACTTTCCATGAAATATAATTTGAAATAGTAACTTATCATGATAAAGATGTAGAGCTCTAAAATGTAAACTTTTCAAGATTCATCTTATATTGAAAAAAGCCTATGCAAACATCTAATGAATTTACAGCATATACTAAAACATGTTCACACTAGTCAAGCCTGATACATAATTCAGGAAGCTGTGGTTGATAAATTTGAAAAAAAAACTGTGAAGGAAAATTTCAAGGGAAGGACGGACGAACAAACAAGGGAAAACAGTATACCTTTCTACTTCGGAACGGGGTATAATAAATTGAATATGTAGGTACTGCACCGTTGGCGATCGAGATGAATTGGTGAACAGTTTGACCATCACTTTAAAAAGCACATTTGTTGCAGTACGGAACGTCCTAGTATTAAAATCAATTGAAGTAACTCACATAAGTCTTGATGAGAGAATATAATTTCTTGGAATGAACCATCCAAATACGCTCGAGATATTGAGTTTTGTCTACTTCCTATGTCAGTCCAATACACCTACATTAAAAATAACGATGGAATATGAGATAATCTGGCAGTATATCTTAGCAAATGTTCAAACAGTGTTTGTTACAGGATGGGATCTACATTTCTGTATTCTATTTTGTTTGCCATATTTCTTTAATTTTTACTATTTCACCTATTATACAATAAGCTAAACATTTTCAGCGCTCCGTTATTATATTTTTGTTATTTTTGTCCATAATTCTGTATTCTTTAAAACCCATTCAGACCTTCATATCTTAATATTCAAAGCGGGAACATATCACAAACAAGTATTTGTGTATAACAAAATATTTCTAAAATTTTCCTATAGACAAAAAAGCCAATAGTTTTCAAAGATATTTAATATGACCCTGCAAACAAACAAAACATCTTTGCAACAATATAGTTTCGGAGAGACGTCTTTTAAAGAAATGAGCTTACAGATCGTTAAAATGCAGAAAATGAACTCACTGTTGTAACCAAGTACCTACATATATACAATATTAGGTCATCAACTTTTTTGTATGAGGCTTAGAAACTGGAGAAGGCTGAGGTTTACAACATACGTAGTTCCTATGGTACAAACACGAAATTATTTCAATACAAGAATTGCAGGAATAAAACCACAATGACTTTTATAAATAAGGGTCTGGATGAGTAGTTGTGGTGTCTTCCTTACTTCATTCTTTAAGAATTTAGCACATTTTTATCTATTCTTTGATTTCTTGCCAATTATTCTCTATTTTTTTTATTATTGTACCCAATTATTATGACATTTGTATTCTTTCTGCTCATTTTCTTCTTATACTTCATTGTTTTGGACTTATTAGTCTCTATTCTGTAAACCCTGTCCACACCCTCATAAATATCATTCTCATACTCACCATATCGTCTACCATGTCAAAAGAAATGCCGTATGGCTGGTCCAGTTCTTTCACAGGTATGACTGATTTTTCCATGGACTCTGCATCAATCTTGTACAAAGCTCTACCTCGCTGGTCAGCAATAAGCAGAAATGGACTATCATCATAATTTCTGCTGGCTAGAAAGCAATATGCGATGAACTTTATTATTATGATTATTTTCGTTACACAGTTGCAAACTTTTGGTGCTACAAATATGTTTTTTGTCTCATTAAATTTGCCGAAAATTGTCAGGAGCCAGGAACCTTGTCAGTAGTTGTTGTTTGTCGTAAAAACTCTTCAAAGATATAAAGCTTGAAATTTTAGTAAAATCTTAATAGGCTATAAAAATGCTTTCGTCTTTAAGACAAGAAGGTTTTGAAGGCATATCTTTCACAGTCTTTGTAAAATTTGTTCTCTACTATTTTAGATTCAGGCAAATATATAAAGCATGACACATTGTATAGACACGTGTCTGGTGTTGATGACCGTATGTTCACCTCTAAATGTCTTTCGTTTTTTTGTTTGTTTGCCGTCTTATTGCCGTATAACCGATATGCTCTTGTGTTTACAAATTTGAAATTAAAAAAGAAAATAAAAATATGACCAATTTTCAAACAGTACACGTTAATACTGAATATGATCATGTTGAAAGGGTGTTTTTCGCAAAATCCTTCCTGAACATGATGCATCTGCTTAAATAAACGGAATATCAATAGCAATGAATTAGTTAAACATTGTATTTAAATCCATTATGTTTGCGCTGAGGTTAACATTATATAAATAAAACGAAGCCAAGGATGACAGTGTCTTTTCGAGGGTTAACAATCTGTTCTATCAACATGGTCACGCTCTCAACTATGTGTTATTCAATCTATTATACTGAATGTTCTGTTATAACTGTCTATTAATATTCAAATTCAAAGTAATCAACTATGTCGACTTGTACATATGTAATAACCATCTGTATCTAATTAAGCACACAATTGATCAAGCGTCACTGTGAAGGGTAATAGAGTATTTACCATATAGAGTAAATTATCACCCTCACATTAACCAATCAAAATCTTGCATTTTTACATGAAGCAAAATAAAAATAGATGCTTTCAGAAAAGCGTCTCCGTGGAGGACAAAAAGGCACATTTGAAATTTCGCAAATACCGTGGCAGATACGGTAAAAAAGAGATTTTCTTAAATTAAATTAAATATCAGCCAATTTCAAACGTTTTTATTTCTTGAAGTTTTAGAATTTGCAGACATAGAGTCTTTTAAAGACATTACGCACATTCTCCATTCTTCAGTTATGTTTTCTTAAATATGATTTATGTTGAAATGTAAATATGTGTATTATTTATCAAATAACTTGTAACATAGATATTGTTTGCTCGTGAAGCCTTGAAGTTCTGTCACTTGATAACATTCCGTCAATAAATTCCTTAAAAGTGTTCTTTTCTTGATAAATATGATCATGTATAATTTTGTCACTGGTGAGTGGTACATTGTTATTATATTGTATACGGTGAAGTTGGATTTTTATTTAGTACATGTATTTTACATACCTTTTTACTTTAAATTGCTTTTTCTCGAAAAAAAAAATGCGGTTTTATTGATAGCAGCATTTTCGTTTTAACGATAGGAAAATAAAAGGGGTTTTGTAATTCTGATACAATGTAAAAGTTATATGAGAAATGCACAATTATATGCTACACATTCCGAAATACTTCGAAAGTGTTTCTATTAGCTCCATTGAACCAGTCCTATACAATTTTAAAATTAAAAAGTGCAAATTGGAAATTCATAAAAAAACATTGAAAACTTGTTTTCTGAAACTGCTTGTTGATATCATGAAAGTCTGATAAATATCTTATAATTTAGGGTCCTGTGATTACCATTGGTGAACAAGTCATTGCTCATAGGCGGGAGATATGCAAATGTAAACGGACAGTTCGATAATATTTATACAGTACCAAGTATGCAATCTTTTCTATTCTTGCTGTATTTGATACATGTAGCTTTGGAAACAGCACAATCTGGATTCTCATCATTGTTATTTTCATTGTGTCGATAACCTAAAGCGAAAGTTTGATCTGATGTTATAACTGTTGCAAACATAATTGCAAGCGCAATATCATAATCTTAGCTACACATGCTTAGATTGTGGTATCAAATTTTCTGTTGATACACAATGGGTTATCAAAAGTTCCATTCAGCAACATAGAATTATATATTTTGGCGTGATATCTTACAAATACGCGGAAGATACCGTCACTTAAGTTGAATGTTGAATTTTTTTTTAAAACACTGTAATTTTTTTCTAATTCCCAGATACAGACATGATAGATCGCCTTAACCTTATTTGGCACACCTTATTGGAATTTTCGGTTTTAATGATCTTCAACCTTGTATTTTATTTGCCCTTCTGACTGTTTTCATTCGAGCGTCACTGACGAGTCTTATGTATACAAAACGTGCGTCTGCCGTAAAAAAATATTTAATGAGTTTTTATGAATCTACAAACAAAAAGACAAAAATTATCACTTAAAAATTAAATTAAATCCGAACTTAACTCCACCCTATTTTGTACATGTACTTAGTTATATATATGCTGTTTATTGTCTTTGTTTGTACGTCTAATTCAGAAGGAGTCGGGCGGTGGTGCCCCCCCCCCCCCACGCAACCCCTCCCCTCCCCCCCTCCGTGGTGGTGGTTGGGGTGTGATCTTTTGTACTGTACAGGGTTTTGTTAATTCCTGTTAACCTTTTCATGCATTATTATATGCCACATTTTACTCTCCTGTAATATGAATAAATCATATCCCAGTCTGTCTGTCAATTCTGAAGATGTTGATTTGTCATATGATTCAGCGACAAGAACAGTACTGTGGAGGATGATAGATTTATTGATAGAATAGTGACTGGTGAACGTCATGCGTTTCAGGTTGTAGGTCTAGTACAAAACAAGGTTCTCTTTTTTATATCAGAATAATATGCTTTCGTTCTGATATGCATGTGATATTTGCCACTGAACGTTAAATAATAATCCACCCATTCAGCTTATGTAGCAACACTAGCACTGAAACGTGAAAATAAATCCAAACTGACATTTACTTTTACAATGTGCATGTGTATAAACAAATAATATTCTTTTTTCTTTTGTCCTTGCTCCTCCAAATCCTAAACCAAAAATTTACGACAGAGACATTAATTCAAGATAATGAAACGACGCCCAACTTCGTGTTATGTTTGTTATTAATATACCGTACCCAATAAACCTTTACCAACAAAAAATGACTACGTCATAAATTTCCATTTATATATACATGTTATTGGGCTCCGCCGATGCAACACAAATTAAGGAAATATTTTTTTTTTTATGAAGGTTGTTAATTAAACTTAAATGAATCTTCAGTTTCACCATGAGTAGGCCTCAAATTTCCGGAAATTTCGAAAAAAATATGGCATTCCCATGGTAAAATCGCGCATACATTATGAGCTGTCATAAATTGTGTTTTACAAGTTGCTTGGGCATATATTCTGCATATAAAATTTAAACAAAATATCCATAACCGATTCCGTAGTCTGGCAGGCATATAAATGAAGTTGAAACAAAACAACAACAACAAAAAAAACAAAAAAAAACAACAAAAGCCATAAACAGATGAATTTTATTAAAGCCTTATAAAGTGTACAAACACAGGCGTTGAAGTCTTCTTACCTTTGGTTTCAGTAAATGATGTTATTAACTGATGGATCTTTCCGAAGCCAATATCACAGTACGAGCTTGTATTTAAGTCTGTATTATTCCATATGTTTATACAGGCATACGAGTCTTTCGATAGTATTGTAATAATACTTCCCTGAAAACAGAAATGATATCAAATCTTAGTCTTTTTTTTAGAAGTTTAAGAAAATTTGATAAGAGCATTCATACTAAACATGCTCAATGAACATATTCTACAAATTGTGTATGAATTATAGTGAAATTCAATCAGGTAAAATTACAATAGATAATTAAAAAACAATTGAAGGTCTTTCCACAGCAATTTTTAAATTTATTGAAAAGAAGCTAGTTCGTGTTTACTCAAAGTAAAATTAGCATCTTATCATCAGTTTCTTCACACTGATGCGATAAATAAGTGGTTTCTATATACTTCTGAGTGAAATAAGGGAGATAATTGTCTACTTCCGGTGAAGTAAATGTCACTTTCGGTCTCATATAACAGTTTCTCTCACACTGATTCCAAAAATATATAGTTTCTATATACTTTTGCTTGTAAACCAGGAAATACTTGGCCATTTATCGAAAGTCATTTCTAGTCTTCAGTGATAAGTTCATGTATTAAAATTACAAAATATATGGATTCCGAGTACTTTTCAATGAAGAAAGTGCAATAATGGCTACTTCCGGTTTTCTCAAGGTCACTCCCGGTTGTCATTTTTCAAGGTCATATGTCATCCAACCTTTTGTAAAAGGTCATATGGCTATATAATGAACCAAGTTGAAGTAATAATCAATTAACCTTATAATTGGATATTTCAGGGGCACTAACTCCTATAAGATGCCATTAGATTGTTTCAGACCAAATGTAACATATCTTCATTACAATAAAGCAAACATTTTGCACTTGTTGTTTCATATATATCTTTAAAAGTGTTTGAGAAAATGCAAAAAACAAGGTAAAGTCAAAATTGAGAACTTGACCTTGACCTTCAACCTTGACCTCATTTTCTAAGTTAGGACCTAGGGACCTCAAATAAAAAGATTCCAGGGTTATACGGTTAACGGTTTATGAGTTAAAAAAATATACCGACAAATTTATTTGTTAAAGGTAGATAACTCCTTTAAAATTTCATCGAATCGCTTCGATCCAAAATAGCCAAAAATTTCTGAGGATGTAACGAACAATTAAGAAAAAAGAATTTTGTCGATATCTTTTTTTGTTACGAAGGAGAATGCACACACTTGATAAACAGTGAATAGGGAGATAACTCTTACAAAGAAAATTGTTCGGCTTAGAATGGGTGAAAATAAAAAGCGAATAAACTGTATGATACTATATAAGAAATATCTGAGCGACATATTGCGAAACAAAAATTTTACGCGATAACAAAATTTGGCGGTAGAAAAAATAATTATCAGAACAAATACAATAGGTCTTTCCACAGAAAAGTGGTGCTACAGAAAAGTGGAAAGACCTAATAATTAGTTTGATAAATAATATCTAACCCCGGTTTAGAATAATATTGCATAGTTAATTCATAACCCCAATGGTTGACAGGGTTTATACATATGGTCAACTAAATTTATCCGATTCGGCAGGAAAACCAACTTGAAGTCTAAAAAAGGGAAGTCTGTTTGTCCGTACCGGATGTAAAAATACGCACATATTACGCGAATAGGGGACTTTTGAATTATGAAATTTCTTCTAATGTTTTAAAAGACAATGGACAGTCAATATTCAAATGAAAATGATTTTCATATAACAGACGGTCATGTTTTTTTTATTTAGAGTTGTGAAAGATTGCCTGATTTCAATATCACATGTTTAGTACTTTAAGTCTTGTATTTCTTAGATATTTCATGTTTTCTTCGATATGTCATATTTTCGTACAATTCCTTACTGCCTTATCTGTATCTATTTTATGGTCCGTTATCGAGAATAAGACGACTGGTTAAAATAACTAACACGTTTACAGATTATGTTTAAGTCTTAGCTTAACAAACAGAAATGTAACTGTACAACGAGACTTGTCGTTTGTTGAAGACTACATATTTCTATTGATTGTTTTGTGTCGCTGTACTTTTAAGATTTTAAAAAAGTTGCAAAAGAAAGGGAAGCTAAACATGTGGATTCACTGCTGCTGCACACACAAATTGTTTTTAAAGGAATGAACCGTAAATTTTGGCTGTGTATCGTGATCTCAAATGAACATAGTCCAGAAAAGTTATAATCCAATTTATAAAACCATGGTAGTACTTTATTCATTTGACAATACTACATAATGTATAGGACTTTCATGGTAAAACTAACTTGGAAAACGGAAACTCCGTAAATTTGTTGTGATAAAGGAATTGGAGTCCTTGCTGGTGCTACATCAATATAAGAATATGCTATTAAGCGATTGCTGTAATTCTCGTAAATATACAAGACATGACTTTCAGTGTCTATAGTTAATGTTGTGGCAATGACATCTCTCATTATAACTGATCGCACACACTCGCCAATTATCAATTGCTCAACTGATTGGTCAAAATCATCACTCCAAAACATTATCCTAAAATATAAAATAAACGTTTTCTGTTGACAAAATTGCCTTCATCAAGGGCAATTAGTAAACATGAGAAAACAAAGGTACTCTAATATATTCTACTTACATCTAAGATATAAAACTATTTTAGTGTTTACTCCGTGCATACATTTATAGTTTGTTTTGTTGTTGTTGCAAGAACGATGAATTCTTTATGAGCCGTTGTAAATATGGAAACAAACGGACGAAATAGCTTTTTCCTTAATTCTTCGGTTAACTTTTCCATTGTTTTATTGGTTAGTAAGTGCCATTTCTAATTTTGCAATAGATAGTAAACAAAGGTGATATGTATATATATATATGGAACGCCATGACTGTCTTCTGATGTTGATTGTTAAATATGTTCGGTGCTTTATGCATTACGTTCAGTAGTATTTATATTTTGTTCAGTAGTTTTCATATTATGTTCAGTAGTTTTCACATTATGTTCAGTAGATTTGACATTATGTTCGGTGCTTTGGTTATTATGTTCAGTAGTTTCATTATTATATGCAGTGGTATTTAAATTATGTTCGGTACTTCTGACGTTATATTCAGTGCATTTTTCATTATGTTCAGTACCATCAACATTATGTTCAGTAGATTCAATATTATTTGCAGTACATTATGTATTACCTTCAGTGGTCCCGGTTTCTTTATATTCGGTAGATTATTCATTATGTTCAGTAAAAGCATCAGTATTATACTCGGTTCAATGAACTATATGTGCAGTAGTTGTATCATTATGATGATGCAGTGAAAGTCGGGAAATCAATAACGGAAATTTTTAGAAAAAAACGAACGCGGATATTTTCGACGGACGTTTTCTTTATGGACACTTTAACGGGATCAGGAATGAAAATGGAAGAAATGGAAGCAGTATTAAATTGGTTTGGTTTACGTTGACACGTTGGCAATTTTCACAAGGAAAAAAAATACTCCTGACTTAATTTGTAAAATGTCATGATTGATTGATTGTTTGTTGTTTTCTGAACGTACAGTGGCAAATATTTCACGCATATTTATGATGGAGAGAAGAATTTTTAAACAAGAAGTAAGAAGTTGCATGTGTTGTCGTTGATACACCATGACCATAGAGAGACGACAAAAAGACAAACAGCAAAAAAAATAAAATATAAAAATATATTATATAGCTTTTGTATTCCTAGTAGGTAATCCTTTTTGTTGGTTGGTTGTAGCGTATTTATCTCATGCACCGACTTTTAAGAGACCATGAAAAATCTCCTTGGAGATACTCCAATAGTATTCTGCATCCTACCCCGCTAATAGGCGCTTAAATATCAGATATTTATTTGAAATAACCCAAGATAAATGAGGTTGTGGATGAGGTTTACAGAATAGAGAAAGTTGATTCATAAATATGACCATATCAATGATAATTCATGGTAACACGGATTAGCCTTGAACCTGTATCTGGATATAGTCAATCTATTCCTCTTCATTCTGGTTATCTTTGGTGGATCTAGAGACTAAATCCAGAAATATGTTTTTAAACGCTCTGTTCAAGAACAGATATTAAGTTATTGGTTTGGGTAGTTTCTAGTCTCTTATTAAACAAAAGGGGTCATGTTTTATGCATTACTTTAAAATAATAAGAACCATAACTGTACAGAAATGGTGAAAATTTGCACATAATTAAAGTTTTGCACTCTGTATTTTGATATTCATTACCTGTCTAATAGACAGTCTATGGTAATCATATTTACACTTAGACCTAGTTAGTTTTTGTGTATACAGCTTGAATTTGGAAGATCTTAATAAATGATTTTAAAATGACAATCATACTGATACTTAATGTTCATTGTTAAATGTAGCACTTTGTACAATATTTCATTCTATACCCTTGCATACCAGCATAAATTTCAATGTAGCTCTTTGAATGTATGAAATTTATGACTAGTTGTTTTCTGGTTTTTCTGCTGTTGCAGAGCTTTTTGCTGTCATTTTTGTCTGAACTCTATCACGAACTGTTTTATCATTGTTGTAATAATTTCTGACAGAATGCAGGAGAGGAATGTAAGATTATCCTTGTATGCGATAGTGGACGAAATAGTACGTCAAGATTTGTTAACTCGTGCAAGATCGTGATTTTCGAGGAAAATATCGTATGTACATAATTTGCATGGTAACATCAATTAACCAGTTCTGATTACGACCAGTTCAACATTTCATTCCATATCAATAATAAATTCGGTATGCAGAAAAAGTTTAGTTATTCTGTTAATCATTTAATTCTGTAATCATTTTTTTTTTTTACCTTTTTCCAAAGTTTTAAACATTTTTTTTAAAGCACCCTTTTATTCTCTATTCTTTATTTTTTGCCCACCTTTTTTTTTTTTTGGGGGGGGGGGGGGGGGGGGGGAGTATGGACATTATTCATTCCACAACCTCATATATCTTGGGTTATTTCAAATAAATATCTGATATTTAAGCGCCTATTAGCGGGGTAGGATGCAGAATACAATAAGAATATCCAGAAGGAGATTTTTGGTGGTCTCTTAAAAGTCGGTAAGTCGGTGCATGAGATTAATATGCTACAACCAACCAACAAAAAGGGTTACCTTCTAGGAATACAAAAGCTATAGAATATGTTTTTATATTTTTTTGCTGTTTGTCTTTTGTCGTCTCTCTATGGTCAAGGTGTATCAACGACACTTTTTTGCTGTTTGTCTTTTTGTCGTCTATCTATGGTCATGGTGTATCAACGACAACGCATGCAACTTCTTATTTTTTGTTTAAAAATTCTTCTCTCCGTCATAAATATGCGTGAAATATTTGCCACTATACGTTCAGAAAACAACAATCAATCAATCATGACATCTTACAAATTAAGTCAGGAGTAATTTTTTCCTTGTGATTGTGAAAATTGCCAACGTGGGAACGTAAACCAAACCAATTTAATACTACTTCCATTTCTTCCATTTTCGTTCCATCCCGTAAAAGTGTCCATGAAGAAAACGTCCGTCAAAAATGTCCGCGTTCGTTTTTTTCCGACAATTTCCGTTATTGATTCCCCAAGTTTTACTGCATCATCATAATGATACAACTACTGAACATATAGTTCATTGATCCGAGTGTAATACTGATGCTTTTACTGAACATAATGAATAATCCACCGAATATAAAGAAACCGGGACCACTGAAGGTAATACATAATGTACTGCAAATAATATTGAATCTACTGAACATAATGTCGAAAGTACTGAACATAATGAAAAATGCACTGAATATAACATCAGAAGTACCGAACATAATTTAAATACCACTGCATATAATAATGAAACTACTGAACATAATAACCAAAGCACCGAACATAATGTCAAATCTACTGAACATAATGTCAAAACTACTGAACAGAATATGAAAACTGCTGAACATAATATAAATACTACTGAACATAATACATAAAGCACCGAACATATTAAACAATCAACATCAGGAGACAGTCATGGCGTTCCATATATATATATATATATATATATATATATATATATATATATATTAGGGTCTGGATGGTGTTTACAGAATAGAGAATAATGGACCAATAATACATAAAAAATGGGTAAAAAAAATAAAGCATAGAGAAAATTGGCCCAAAAATAAAAAATAGACAATAATGGGGTGCTAAAATATAAAGAATAGAAAAATGATCTAAAAAAATATTGAAATGAAGGATCCCCATCCAGACTCTCGTATATTTTATGAACTATCAAGCAAACACAACTCCATTGTTATCAGAACACACTCGGGTTAATTTACTCTAATTTGAGACAGGAAAATGTTCATATAAACTTAGAAATTTGATCCAAAACTAATTAAACAGAAAATGTAAAGCAAATAATTACGTACTAGTGTGGTTAGTTAATACGCTTACCCTTTTAAAGAATCTATGGCCAACGATTTCGGACTGTTTAAATTATTTATCAATTTTGAGACTGCTGATCCGTCATAATTTGCTATACCGATAGATCTCAACTGTCTGTCCGTCCAATATAGTTTTTCTTTGATGTTGTCTACTGCTATATCTGAAAAAAAACATCCATATTCAGAAGTTTTAACTTTAAAAGTTTGAACAGAAAACGTTTAGCTAAAGACATGTTCGGAGAATACAAAAAATGCAACACATCTTCACATGTATCACACATTTATATCAAAGGCGAGTTAGACATTTTAGAGTAGAGTTGTCTTCCTTTTACCAGAATTTTATTTCAAACTTCGATACAAAATGTATAATATTGTTTGTTCAATATTAGGAAAAATTGACCTTGGAAGAACATGACTATTCTGTTAAGGTCTTGTTTAGTTATATAGCTCTAAACGTTGCAGCGTATTGGTACGTAATGTATAAAAGAAGGACACTCTTACATGAGATACGGGTTCATATTCCCTTCCCTTCGGGTCAGGGGTAAGGGTAAACAACTTTTACATGGAATATAAACTCATATTCCCTATGAAGATTCCGACTAATATAATAATATTCTAAGATTTACTTATTAGGTTGCTTCCTTGCAGAGGAATTTACTTGTAAAAGGTTTTATTATTTTTTTAAAGTTGCAAACAAATACTTTACCCTGAACTTCTCCAATAGCTATTACAATATCTTGGAGCTGTCCGTGTGTTCTTAAGCTTGCTTTGTAAATGACCTAAAATAAAAAAGAAGATTCCTTATTTTCATTAGTTGAAAGACTAGACTCAAGTTAGCGAACAGAATTGGCTGATTGAATGTTGCTTGCTAAACATCCAGTGGCGAATATGTCAGGCGTATTCAGGACGAAAACAAATTAACAATAAAAACGATTGGTAGGTTCTGCAAGGTCTGTCGACCTGGACAAAGGACAGGAAATTTGGAGTGCCCAGGAAAATAAGGGTAAAATTTTCCCTCTACATACACAGACCCCTGATAGATTTATTGCAAAGGTTCTTGTAAGTACAGAGAGTGTTACACTCAATTTGCACTGGGCATCGGATTTAACGTCCCCATCCCGACAGGACGTGACTGGGTATTTATACATCCCGTCCCACTTCAGCAAGGGATTTTACTCTCAATCAGGAGCAGTCTAGGAACGACCACATTTCTATACCCCAGTCAACTTTTGGAGTTCTAGCAAACAAGAAGCTAGTAAATGTTTCAAGGAATACAATGTAATACTTGCGAACAATAAGTCAGCGACCAATAAAAAAATCACTACTCAGCTTTACAATATGACCTAACTGAAAAGCTGTTGTTCGGAATCTTAAATATTCAGACCTCTAGCATTCTTCAAACACGTGCTTGGAATGAAACGCCAAAAATCGAGCTTCATAGGCAAATCGATGCACCATTTTCCGCATTGGTCTAAATGCCGGACAGAAGAATTCAGCGTAGCCATACTTTAAATATTTTATATCAAAGCTATCAAAGATATCGGAAAATCCATTCCGAGTTGGTCAAGTATATGAGAATCGCCTAGACTTTAATAAGGAAAATCCATTCCGAGTTGGTCAAGTATATGAGAATCGCCTAGACTTTAAAATGTTTTCCCCCTTCCGTTAAAACGTTTTACAAATATAAATCCAAAGTTTGATCTTTTGATGAAGAGAAAAAAGTAAAATAAAAATACCGAACTCCAAGGAAAACTCAAAACGAAAAGTCCCTTATCAAATGACAAAATCAAAAGCTCAAACAACATCAAACGAATGGAAAACAACTGTCACATTCCTTTGAAAACAGTTTTTCAAGATATTCAGTGTATAATTTATTTGCATTATTTAACAATGACCTGTGTTCAACAAAACAATTGTAACTCTAAATCAATTGTCAGAGCTATATAACAGTAAGGACCAAATCTATTATAAAAAAAAGTTATTTGATGCCAATTAGCTTAAAACGAATTTAATTGTAATAAACAATTCAATAAGTTTAGTTTCGATGACATTTGAGTAGGAGGAATCTCGTCCCGTAATTGATGATCGCGTTAAACAAAATTATAGTCAACAAACTTATTAACTATACCATGATGCTTATGTATTACCAATTCATAGAAAAGAATGTACAGATGCGAATTCAGAATTTAGAAAAAAGGAGGGACCAAACAAGGCAACCTTAGTAGATCGTGTGAAAAGTCTATGCATTAACCATATATCTAGCTTCATGAAGGGGTGCCCCCCCCCCCCCCCCCCCGCCCCCTAAATCTGCCTCTGATGTACACTCGTTTTCGGTTGACGTGAGATTATTTATATTTATAGTCATAGTAGCACGATAAGAATTTGTAGTAAGGGATAGTCCCTTTAAAATTGGAAAAGTTAGAAGTGGATAATGTAAAGAACTTGTTCTTGATATTTGTTTTATCTGAAGAGTCTCATACTTTGTCAATCTATATTGCGGAAATTTAATCTTCGTTTTAACAAGATATGCAATTAAACACTTATACTTTTAAATCACAATTGCGGAAATTGTATCTTCATTCTTATAGGCTATAAAACTAAACACTTAAACCTATATATCACATTATTTTGATATTTTTTATTGCAATACATTCATTCATAAAATTGGATGGACACAACACTGTGTGGTAGATTGCTTAGATGGCGATAAGCTGTTTTGCAGCACAAGTAAATAAAAGCACCTAATAGATATTCATTTTACGTATAATGATTCTACTGTATTACTTTAGCATCTGAGTGGTCGTGTGAAAGTTCGTTTACAATCACATCATTTTTGAAATACAGTCTTTTAAGAAATAATGATTAAGACATTAAAAAAGCAATTATAATTGTATGCGTGTTTTTGCAATACTTTGCTTTTAGTTAATATGTTAGGCGGAAACGGGTATCTTTAGATTTTATCTATGAAATGTATGGGTTGGAATGCATGTTGAATTGTATGAAACGTATGCAAATTGTTTTACAGTTAGTTTTTTCAAGACTTGTGCAATTAATTACACAGTTTATGACTTGACGTAATAATTATTCCCCTTGAAACTTCTATTGGAACATTTGCCAAGAGATATATTTTCCCCCAATAATTTCAAACAGAGGCTGATTATGTTACAAACCAGACATCTATACAATCATTATAATAAAGACGCAAAACTTGAAAAGAAAAAATGCAAGTTTAAAAAAAACATAGGACAAATATAAGGATGAATGTAAATTTTTTTCTAAGCATATCGTAAAAAAGGCAGAGTGGTTACAATATATTATAGGTAAGTTGAAAACGTTAGAAGAAAATATCTCAATATAGATATAAATATCAGAATCTGGACATTATAGTGTACCGACAGGGGAATTGTAAGAAAAAAAGGAAGTTACGTTTTCATTGACCAATATCACCCCAAGGGGTTGACTGGGGTGTAGAAATATGGTCACCTCTTTGTCTCCTTCCTACCGACAGTAAAACTTTTGACAACATGGGGCGTCTGTTTGTCTGAGCGGAACGTATAATTCGCAGCCAATTCCGGTAAGAATGGGGAAGTTAAATCCGATGCCTCGTGAAGAGAAAGTCCCACGTTCTCTGCTCGTTAAGAACCCTCTCAACAAATCTTCGATGGGGCCTGTTGCATGGTTAGATTTCTGTCCCTATCCAGTACATGTATACCCTCATTTTACAGTTGCACTTCAAATTTCCCGCCCTTTATTCCTATCGACCTCCATATATAATTTGTTATTTTTTTCTCGTCCTAAACATGCATGAACTATTTGCCACTGTACGTAAAGCAAACAACAATTAATCTATCAATGACCAATAAGCTACCATTGTAAATTGTTCAATTTTGAATACCTAACTATCTAGCTAACTTGAACAAAATAAAGAAAAACGAGGAAATATGCGCAACTGAGTTAGACAGCCAACCAAGACACAAAAACCGGAAGACATCTTAAGGTCAAGATACGGATTTTAACAACAGTGTGCCTGTAACTATGTCAGCCTAATTTAAAAAAAATTTCGATCTGTACATTTCAAAATGTACATACGAGACAGTGGCGGATCCACGGGGGGGGGGGGGGGGGGGGAGGTTCCGGGGGTTGGAACCCCCCTTTTTTTGACGATCAATGCATTTGAATGGGGACATATAGTTGGAATCACCCCCTTTATCTTGGGTTGGGAACCCCCATTTAAAAATGGCTGGATCCGCCCCTGGGAGAACATAAAATCCGATAATCTCAGAATAAGTAATTAGACTTAACTCCAATTGACCGATACAATAAACAACGAAAATCGTAGCTACGAGGAAGATAATACTAGATAATATCGTATCAAAAATGTTCATTCGAGATATTTTTCGCTCAATTAGAACTATTTTGTTCATCCTCTCCCATCCCAATATCCTTCCGCTTCCATAAAATTATTCAATGTTAAACGTTAAATCAAACGAGCTCATCAAACTGTTTAAGTTGTAAGATTTATGAAAAAGAAATATTCTTGGCAAATCAGATATATACTTTTAACGATGTATTTGAAATGTATATTTTTTGAAAATATTGATTTTTATGGGGGGAGGGGGGGGGGGGGGGGGGGGGGGCTAGGATGAAAAAATTTGTCCTGCATTTTTTTAGTTGTAATCTCTGTCCTGCCTTTTTATTTTTCACTCTATTCGATCCTGCCTTTTTTTTATTAGTTTATCCTGACTTTTTTTACTTAAATTGTCATCCTGCCTTTTTTTTTGCAAAATTGCTCATCCTGCCTTTTTTTTTTACTCAAAACTCCTGTCCTGCCTTTTTTTCAAATTTCATCCTAGCCTCCCCATAAAAATGAAATGGTAGCTCCCTAAAACAGACATCAGACAAAAAAAGGACACAAAATACAAATGTCAAAACTAAATATATTTAATGATGTAAAAAAAATAAATTTGCAAATCATTAATTGATTTGTATAAAAAATCGGTCCCATATAAATATGTGGTTTTTTTTTTCATTATTTAAACCTATAGAGTAATTGAGAAATATGTTTGTTTGAGGGGATGTTATACAAATTATTTTGAAGTTAAATGACTAATTTCCATAAAAAGAATATAAAAAATTCTAAAACACTAAACATACAAAAAAAAAACAAAAAAAAAAACACGTATATTAAATTAAATATTATTGAGACAACGATTCTTGAGAGGATCAAATATGAACCGATTGGACATAGTACTATCTTTGAATAAAGTCAAACCGTTCACTCTTCTTTTCATAAAGGAGAAAATATAACTAGCTATAGGGGATTCAAAAGCCACAAGCTGTAGTAAAACACACAATACAATGACAGATGGGGAAAAGGAGTAGAAGACAACCAAAAGTCCACAAACCACTATGTAGAAAAGGATAGAGTAACTCGAACAAACCAAAATACCAAGGGTAAACTCGTGTGGTCTGCAAGGATCAACAGTACTTGTTCCACTAGTAGTAGTTAAAGAGATTTCAAGTTTTTTTGAAATTTTTATATTTTTGTCAAAGGGTCAAAGTAAACATTTTGTCAAAATTTTATGAAAATTAAACAAGCCAAATTAATTTTAGTCAAGGTGTTTGGTACCACCTTAAATTGTTTCACATTTGCTCATTTCGGGGCCTTTTATAGCTGACTATGCGGTATGGGTTTTGCTCATTTTTGAAGGCCGTACAATGACCTATAGTTCTCCACTCTCAACAGTTAAATTTTAATTATTTAAAAAGCTCGGCAAGCCTCGCGCTTTAAATATTTAACTGTCTCGAGTGGAGAAATATCGTAACACACTTGTTGCAGTGGTGGAATCTATATGTCCACTGCCTAACCTAGTACATGTATTATTTAATATCTAGACTACTCTATAAACTGCCGACAGTTATGGGCTATTGTTGAAAGCTGATTGATGTTTTACTAAATTTTGCTAGGCTTGAATAACCCAGTGAACTAAAGGAGATTAAACAAACTATCGATACTCTAATTGATAAATTAAAAAAAATATAAGGGGAATTGAAAAAGTTTTAGTTTTTCCAAATTGGAGTAGGTTTATCCGTGGGCTTAAGTGCGATCTTCATTGGAATAGCTATATTTTTGTACTGTAAGTATATTAGAAATAAATCTTGGTTAGCCAAAAAGAAGAGTGTAAGTTCTGGTTCTAATTCTACGAACGATGGGTACCAAATGGTGTCAACTCAAATGGTTGGGACAGAAATAACTGATTCCAGAGAGAAGGTTCTCTCTCCACCATTATTCAAAGACGATGCAAAACCGAAGACCGATGCTCTTAGACTTCGTTATAACAACGCCATGGCTAAACTTCCAAACTTTGAGAAATTACGAAATTGTCAAAGTGTATAAACGTTTAATCATTGTTAAAGACCGTATGTTTACTGTACATGTTTGTTTTTTTCTCCTTTTTTAGGTGTCATTCTAATATAATATCAATTACGTATACCCCTCATTTCGATTCGTTTTTAAAGATAAAGAAAATAAAATTATGTTATGAAGGAAAATACCAATGAAGTAGACTTAAATAGAATTCTATTAACAAAAATTTAGGTCATTCATGCTTAATGAACCCGGTTTGCAATACGGTTTCTAAGAAGAATCTTCATTTAGTGTCCTGTTAGTCTTTTATGGTTAAGTATTATCTGATTAAGTTGCCATGATGAAATACATTCATAGAAATCTCAGTTTCGTGCGAACCATATTTAAAATAAAATTGAGAATGGAAATGGGGAATGTGTCAAAGAGACAACAACCCGACCATAGAGCAGACAACAGCCGAAGGCCACCAATGGGTCTTCAATGCAGCGAGAAACTCACGCACCCGGAGGCGTCCTTCAGCTGGCCCCTAAACAAATATGTATACTAGTTCAATGATAATGGACGTCATACTAAACTCCAAATTATACACAAGAAACTAAAATTAAAAATGATACAAGACTAACAAAGGCCAGAGGCTCCTGACTTGGGACAGGCGCAAAAATGCGGCGGGGTTAAACATGTTTTTTGAGATCTCAACCCTCCCCCTATACCTCTAGCCAATGTAGAAAAAACAAACGTACAACAGTACGCACAGTAAAACTCAGTTTAAGAGAAGTCCGAGTCCGATGTATGCATGCATAACTTTCGATCGAATAAGACGTTTATAGATTTAAGATCCTAAATTTCAACAACACACAAACCATTGTTCGCTCTGGTAGCTGTACTGGAATTTAGATGACACAAAAATTAGAAAAATAACAGGGTGAAATAAAAGTGTCAGTCCTACTTTGTTTCTTTGGCAAGTTAGATTCCAAGAAGAAGTCGTTTAAACTCAAAACGTTTATGTTGGAAAAGGGGGGTTGGGGTTGGCGACGGATGCAAAAGCTGACATACGCATAAACTGAAATAAAAGTAAACCGAATAGTATTATTTGTAGTATTTACATTTAAAGATATAGAAAATATCATTACATATTTCTTATACTAGGTTATTTATCAGGTATATTTGATAAAAGACCTGTAATTACTAGTTTTGACCCTTTTTAAACTGCCATTTAAATCTTTACCACACATGTACACATATATGTTGACAACTTGTTGAAATAGATTAAGTAAAATATATTTAATATTATAGTATTTGATCTATATTAAATACAAGAGATTTGAACAAAAGAAACAGTCACACCTATATGCTATAGATATAAGAAGATGTGGTATGAGTGCCAACGAGACAACTCTCCATCCAAGTCAAAATTTATAAAAGTAAAACATTATAGGCCAAAGTACGTATATTAATTGTAAAGTATATACATACATGTCTTGCACCATGCATCATAGAGCACTTTTAACAACCTGTTAATATATTTTACATCTATGAATGTAGAATCTTACATCATAACTTCTTACTCTTAGAAAACAAATATTTAAAAACTCATAATTGAAAGTAGTCACACTTATGTACCCGCTTATTTTTCTATTACATATTCAAAATAAGTTAAAAAGTATTTAATTTAAATACTGACATACTTCATTCCTACTCAAGACGACCCGGAAGTTTATAATAATATAAATACATTTGGATTTCTCTGTTAAAGATGACAATGATAACATTTTGTGAAATGATACCTTCGTTTCCGAGTCGTACAAAAAAGCAAGACCGTTTTTTGTGTCTATAGCCATCCTACTAAATTGTCCAGTGTAGTGCATTCGATGGAAGGATAAATGTTGTGAGGAAAATTGACCAAGGAGAATACCTTTGTCTGTAACCAAGTATAATTCAAAGGAGAAGATAGTTCCTGAAATTAAAATAAGATATATTATTGTAAGTAGCAAAACTATTTTTTTCTTTCGTATGTCTGGTCTCAAAATGTATCTTATTTGAATATGATTTATTACTTATTTTCATACTCTTAGTCTTTTTACTCAAGTTTAAATTAAAAGGAAATATATGTTTATATTAATGAGACAGCAATCTAACGATAAAACAAAATCCCAAAAAATATATAAGTATCAAACCCGAAGAAGTTATACACCTATATATCAGATATATCATATCCTGTGTGTGTTCTCCAGCTGAAACTCTAATGAGTGTACACACATATTCTTTTCTTTTATTGATGTCTGGAACATATGGCGAGGTTAAACCAGGTTGTTGGAGTTCTTAACCCTTATCTTTTAATCACGAACAGTGGAATTACAAAAAGTACAAAGATGAAAATTCTATTTAATATGTTTTTGTTGATTGGTTGCCGTCTCTGGCTTTTACTACGCACCCCCTTTTATTCATGTATCCGCAACCCAAATGGACTCAGTTTGATAATTTACAACATAACTTAATACATAAGGAAATACAACCATGTCCAATGAAACAGAGAGGCAATAAAATCGACTCAATGCAAAAGGGAAACGAACGTATAAATGAATATACACAATGTATTTGAACATCTTTTGTTTTTTTATATTTGTTCTACAAATGAGAGAGGGATGAACATTTATTTTCGTTCAACGTGTTAGCCTATTCTATTTAAGAATCTACCTTGTCCTTGTCCCCCTTTCTGACCTTCGTTTATGTTGTTGAAACTATTCATGCGGTAAGTCACAAGTGTGTACGTATAAAGAAAACGCTGAGTCAAAAGTCAAATGTATAGTGCATTTTTAAAAACGATATTTACGACCCACAATTTTTGGACAACTTGGCAAGGCACAGGAAGTTGTTAAGCTTTGAATTCTCCCACATCACACAGTAAAACACCTTAATTTCAGAAACGAAATTTAATAGTGAAAAATCTATGTTCAAACTGGAAACCACAAAACAGACAGGGAAATCCGAACGAACAAAATAAACCGACATAAATTAAAATTTATCGTGTTAAATAATATAAACAGTTTCATTTTGATTAGTTTGAATGATTGATGTTAAGTAAGGTTTGTAAAGATGCACACTCGTAACACAACCAAAATGATAAATAAATAGATTGGTAGGTCCTGGAATGTTGAAAGACCTGGGGACTATACTTAAAATTTGTGACTGCAACTTAAATTTGAAGAGCGATGTCAAGAATAAGAGATACATAAGTCAATATTTAGATGATCAGAAACTTTGTCAGCATGGTTCATGGTATGGAAGTTAGTGGCAATCCGGTTGGTATCTCCGTTCTGAAGGATTATTTTTTGGTAAATTTGACTTTTACTACATATGGTCTATATAGGCCAAACGGAAGGTTTGTGCATGTTTAAAACTGGCTAACCCACCCACATTTCATGACTATACCAAGTCAGGCTATCAGGACCATGTGCTGTTCGTTTTGTTAGTCTTTGTTTGTCTATTTTCTAGGAGGAGTTTGTTGATGTTGGTTGGTTGGTTGGTCTGATGTACTGTTATTTATTTTTCTGTAACTCTAATTGACCTCTTATAAATTGCACGGACGGAGAAATCATTTTGACATGACATTGTGTGCATTTAAAGCTAGAAAGCTAGCTGTCATGTAGTTTCTACACATTCAGGCGATGTAAGAAACAATGCTATACTCTAACATATTTTACAGCCAAATCTTTTTGAAAAAAACGATGTTCTCATTTCCATGAAAACTATTGACAGTCACTACTCAATACAGAATTGTAAGTGTACAATCTTCTTGATACTCAATTCCTATTTTGAAAATTCTGTTTAAGGATCAAGACAGCTTCTGAATTAAATAAAATTTGCTTATCTGAATTTTATAGCCATTTTTTTTAACAAAATAAACATTTTTTTCGTAATTTTTTATATGGCTTGAGCATCCTGTCAGAATAATGCTTGTAACCGGACCTGACTGGGCATTATAATTTCACGTTCGCAGAAATCATCATTCCACAGTATATTATGTCACCAAGTCTAGACATATTTATGATCTTAGGTGCTCTGAAGTATAAGCAAATCCTGCTCCACATGTGGCGCCCGTCGTGTTACTCAATCCATGTAAGAACAGAGAATAGGAACACACCATCGTCATCTGTGAAACCGATATTCCATAATACATAGTAGTCAACCAACTTGTGATGAATATCTATGAAAATATGTATGTTCTATAATATCTAAAACCGGCTATTATTTGAATTAAAAAAAGGACTTTCATGTAAAAATGATATTATTAACTGGTCTACGTACCTATTGCAAAACAGAGAATGGTAGAAATTAATAGAATAGTTATCAACAATTCTTGCATCATCCTTGATAGTTATAATTCCATATTATCGAGGAAAGACATGTTTCGGCATCATTCAATCAATAAAAATGTTAAAAAATAAAACAATGTTTTATGGTTTTTTCATTATTTGATCAATATCACAAATCGATGAAATTTTATGAAATTCCGTTCTTTAGTTTTCATACAATATCTAATTTCGTTAAATAATAAATGATTTTATTTTGTTTGTTGTAAAGGCATCTGCTCATTTTAATGAAATGAAGTAGTGTAAGCTTGTGAATTATTTAAAAGTTTAGAAACGATTACCAAATGATCATTAACTTTTTTCAATAGCAGAAATATTTATTAAACTAATTGCTTACACTAAATATCTCTAATTGCTAGGTGTATTGTTCATACTGTTTCATGCTTTTTGGTTTCCAATATTGGGTTTCGAACACGACTGACGTGAAATAAATTTTCGAAATAATATATCGATAAATAACATGCGGTGCATTACATTAACTTCGGTAGCTAGTTATTGGATTTAATGACAGTATAAAGAAGACAGCTTTTAAATTAGTATTAGTTTAATTGATTGACACGCCAATTCAGGATTATTACAGACGCCTGTTAGTGCATCTGCGAGAATTACAGTAATCGTGTTAATGAAAAAGTGTGTCGTAAATGCGATAAACTATCTCATTATAACGAGATACAAGTATACAGAAACTATCTTGTCTTTTTAACTATATCTTTATAACAACATGGAATATCTAACAAACGACATATTTTTTCTCGCGTTGGTACTCAACTACTTCTGTTGATTGTGTAATTAGTAAAGCCTGAAAAAAACCCCGTTTCTCTCCTTTTTTGCTCACCTCTCCTACTCCTGTGCATGGTAGTCTGAGATATTAATCTCAGTCGAACAACCTTGTATGACAAACTGGGGCGATGGGACGTCAGATTACAGCCCATATCGAATACATGGATATTGCCAACTCAGACGATGAGAAGTACGTTTCTGTCTCGAAATCGTAAAAGACCCATTTTCAAGCAGATAAATCATATACTTCATTTTTGTACACGTACTTTTACTTTGACCAAGTAATAATTATTGTAACGTGATTGTTGTTTCTGTTGTGTCGACGGACATTTGGAAGTAGATTTCTGCATTTAAAACTCGATGACCTGCATACAGTATCAATATTTTCCTCTTCGTCCATTTTTTTGTGAGTAGACGTAGCGCATGCCAATATATATTTGTCGAAATTAGCTCCAATGATTACAAGTTTAGTCAGAATTTTTTTTTTTCAATCTTTGGGTTAGCGAAAGACCATCGTGGAAAACGGAGAGTTCTGAATATAACGTTTTCTACTGGGGAATAGTCAATGAAAAAATGAAGATAAGTTGTGTCGATTTCAAAATGTTTAGTAATATCTATAACAAACTACTAGTACTAGTACTAAGTTGTCGTGAACATCAAAAATATAAAAATATATCGTTTCAGAGAGATTAACCACAAACCATTACATTTGTACTCAATATCTAAACTTATTTTGCAATTCTTTTACACTGAAACAGATTAACAGTTGTTCTTAGGTTGTGCTGTTACACCACTGTCCCAGGTAAGGAGGAGGGTTGAGCGCTCACAAATATGTTACATCCCGCCACATTCTTTACGTTCCTGTCGCAAGCCAGGAGCCTGTAGTTCAGTGGTTATCGTTGGTTCATGATCATGTCTGTCATTTTTGTTTTTCGGAAATTGTTTTGTTACAAATTAGGCCGTTAGTTTTCTCAATTGAATTGTTTCATATTTTTCATGTCGGGGCCTTTTATAGCCGACCATACGGTATGGGTTTTTCTCATTGTTGAAGGACGTACTGTTGCCTATAATAGCTTACACCCACTTCATTTGAACTTTGGTGGATAGTTGCCTCATTGGCAATCATACCACATCTCCTTGTTTTTATAGGATACATTTACAAAGACGATAATAACGAAATTTGTTTTATGAAAAACCTACGATCAATTATTGATCATTGATTCCCGGAATACACTTAAAGCTTATCAATTTAACACAGAAGTAAGATATTTGAACGTTGATAAATAATGACCCTGTTGATACTATGTACTTATATTTTTACATTAGATACATATCTCTAAGGTCATTCTTTTCTCAGACTGTTTATGACTTATTTTTCACTAAATCAGATGGATGTATCCTGATTGATACTTTAGTGTGGGAGAACATTATATTTTTATTAGTTGAAATTGCTTTTGAATTAGCTTTCAGTAAATGCGAACACTCTTAAATCATTACTTTGTGTCTTTATGTTAGTTGTGTGTTTGTGCTTGTGCCAGTATGATGAAGTCTTTTCCAACTGCATTTTACAGTTTGTTCTTATGCTGTGATATAACACCACAGTCCCATGTTAGGAAAGGGTTGAGCGCTCACGAACATGTTAACCCAGTCACATTCTTTATGTGTCTGTCCCAAGACAAGAGCCTTTAATTCAGTAGTTGTCGTTGATGGATCTCTGTCGTCTTGTTTTTTCGTTTAATGTTTAATTAATCATGGTGGTTTTTTTTTCTTTCGTTGGAATTGTTTCACATTTTGTCATGGTCGGGGCTTCTCCTCAAGCTCTCGACTTGAACAACTGATTCATGACTATAAATTATTTCAAGTTCTATCCATACCTTAAATATCTCGGCAACGGAGGATCATTATGAACATAATATACATTTTATGCTATTTTCAACCTTTGAACCTTTGGAAGATTTATTTTATAAAAACTTTGGTTAAGATATATATCATAAATATGATTTGTCAAATATTTCATATTTCGTATTCAGTTTATATTTCGGAAAATATTTTGACAAAAAATCTTAATTTGCATTACATTTGACACATGTTGCTGTTTCCTGTTTTTTTTTTTAGATTTCATGATAAAAATCTTTAGATTTTGACGCAAAATAGTAATTTCTACTTATGAAATTTTGTTAGTTTCCGTAAACAATAGTATTTGTTAAGTTTAAAACAGAGGAACATTTGGTATATTTCCTGGTTTCCTGGTGTCAAAGATTTTCTGGTTTCCTGGTGTCGGAGATTTTCTGATAAAATCGTAGTTTTGACTCGAAGTATTAATTTCTGGTCCTGAAATTTTGTCCGTTTCCTGATACAATCACGATTTTTTTCTCTATTCTTTATAAATTTTGCCCATTATTCTCTATTCTCTATTGTTTATATTTTAGCATCCCATCATTCTCTATTCTTTATTTTTTTAGCCTGTTTTTCTCTATTCTTTACATTTTTGCCCTTTATTCTGAACATTTTGTCTATTATTCTCTATTCTGTTAACCCCATCCAGACCCTCTACTATGTTCTTGTTAGACGTTAAGTATATCAAATATGATGACACCAAGGTCATAAAACTCAATGTTTCAATTTTGCTAATTTTTATAATTCTTATTGCATAGGTTGACTGGACTATAAGCATGATAAGCCATCAGGTTAAATCTATGGATAAATATGAAAGCAAAACATTTTTTAAAACAATAAACTGTTGACACAGAGATATGTCTGGCCTTTATGAAGTTTGATAGTATAATGCAAATTTTGAAATTAAAATAGCAATACTTTTAACAAGTAAGCTACAAAAAAATGCAAAGTCACTGAACGAGGATGCCTGAATGTGCAGGGCCAAATGATCTCCATGGAACTGAGCTATCTTCAAGCTATTACAGCTGTATACCAAATATCATTAACTTACCACCAGAGGTTCCTTAAATTTCCTAAATTGACCTAATCTTAAACTATAACATTTAAACTAGACAAAAGCTTCAACGTCAATAGACCATGACTTAGCGGGCTGAGTCAAATAATCTCCATGGAATGAGACATTCTATTGCGATTTCAAATACATTGTACATACCAAATATCAGTGACTTTCCATTAGTGGTTCCCCTTAAACTGACCTAATCATAAAACTTCAACATTTAAACCAAGCAAAAGTTTCAAGATCATAAGTACCTTACTGAGGGGGCAGTGCCAAATGTATCCTTGTTCTGTGGTAATAAATCCCTAACACAGTCTAGGCAAGATACACGCCAGGTACCTTCTCAATAAAAAAAATGTCTGACAACTTATCTCCACTTGAATATGTCAATTCCGACAGCAAACTTTTATGTACATAGAATTAGGAGTTCAATCATTCTCCTATTTAGTTCCATACCAAGCAGTGCAGAATTTTTACTTTTTACTTATTTTTACCTTGTCTGCAAGTTCTTAAATTTAATTCCAATTGTATTAGCCTCCCTTACGGTTTATTGGGGGAGCGGGTGGGGGGATTTTTGAAAGGTCATGACCGACATTCATGAAAACAATATTTTTTTGCGTATGGATAGGGTAGTTTTATTCAAAAGCGAAGACAACATATTGGACCATTTACTCAGACATTTCTCCACCATATTCATTCGTATTCACAGACAATTTGAAGAAAAGTGAGAGTCAACTGAACACCCTTTGAAAATATTACAGATTCTGAATGTTTATCTGCAATTTCACATTTATTTTTAAAAAGATGAGTTTTATTCAAAATGAACTGCATTATTTAATATGCTTTAATGTTAATATCTTTACAGCTGTGCATTTTCTTCGCTGATCATACTTGTTCTTTCTGTTATTACACTGACATCATAAACTACGTAATTCAACCCGCCACGTTCATTTGCCTGTTCCAAGGAAGGAGCCTCGTCAGTATCTAAATAGTTTTGTCATTTAGGGAAATTGGTATTGATGACGGTCTCTAATAGATTTATTTGCAACTTCTCTAGACTCGCTGCGATTTACAGTTGGTCCTATTGTGTAATCATCTGTGTATCATCGAAGGCCGGTTTTCGACCTCTAGATGACTTTTTAATTTATTTCTTTGTCATCTGATACCGGCCTCATTGAAGTTAACCTATAATAGTAATAAAAAATGTATAATGTAGATATTATATGTGCAGTTTGTAAGGTGTAGCATGGTTAGCTCTTATCAGAAAAAACTACTTCTGCTATCAGTTTCTTAAGTTTATATATACCTGTTGACAATGCCTTTGATATTGTACAACATTGCTGTCGATTGAGAAGCAGCCGAGTCGTGCTGACACTTGTTTAAGACCGAGAATCAAAATCTGTTGTCAGTTATTAGGTTTGGTCTTTTATACATAGCCATATATACCTGCAAATGACACACCTTCGTATATTGAAAAACTTATGTGTAATTTACGACTTGGTCGTTCGAAATGATATGATGTGTAGACCAAGCTGGTAAAGATAATTTACACATCAAGGTGACCCTTACACATTTCTGAATAATTCAATAAAGTAAATACTATTTACTTATAATTTGACTTTAGAACAATTGTTTATACAGTTTTTAAATTTCTGGACCATCGGTGCAGTAACTGAGTTTTATCAAACAACTAATGTACTGTACATTTAATTTTATCGAACATGTTGTAACAATATATATACGCCCTTTTTATTTATTTATCCAATTGAAAGGAGTGATGTAGATACACTCCGATAATTGAATTGTTAAATATCTATTTTTATGTATGTAAACTTTTGATCTACTAGTTCCTTCTTCCTAGTTTGGTGCACGATTTTCAACATTTATTCAGAATACTTCATTGAAGAAAATTACTAATCATTAGAAATTGAAATGATTTATCTGAGATTTATATGATAAATTTCTGATCGTGAGTTATAAACAACAGATTCGGTAAATATATGCCAATATTTAAATGTCTTATATAAATACCTTACTATGAAATTCGTGCAATTGATGTTTATTCGTTGTATAGGTAAAAAGATGACACACCCAAATTAAATGTAAAATATCTTATTCAAATTGGTTTTCTTTATGTATTCTTTATATTTTTAAACTAATTAATCATGTTTTCCTCCCGTCATGTTGTATTATTGTAGATCAGTGTCTGTTAAAAATGTGTGCGCCATAGAGCTATTTAAGATTATTATTGACTGCCTTAATATTTGTGACAAGATCTTACTTAATACGCAGTTCAAACACACAAAGAGAAACTTAAACACACAGAATAATATGGTTAACGACAAGTATACACACATATACAATAAAGAGGAAAACGAACAGTCTAGTAAGATACTTACTGAATATGTATATTATCGTTATTAGTTATATAAGCATAATAAAAGAAGACAAACAAAACTATGAGAATTACCCGTCCCCCCCCACCTTTTCCTAAAATACCAAGCACAAACCAAAGAAAAAAACTCAAGCATCCGTCTATATGACTCTTAAAATTTTAAAAATAAATGATTGAGCAACATAAGCTTCCTAAAACCAGGGGTCAAATTCAAGTGCTTACTAAAGAATAAGGAAGACTATGGTTTTTCGAATTACTTTTGCATTGCTGATAATCGTGTGGTTTGAGATTGGTGTGATCTTATAATTTTAAGCCAATCAGACTTAAGCCTGTTAAAGGATAAAGTTCACAGGGTTCATAATGGCCAAAGAACATTTTTTAAAACCTAAGTTGGAATTACAGGATATTTTTTGCTGAAAAATATTTGACATATCAAAATGAAATTTACTTGTGTATGAAAGAATTTTTGTTCGTTTTCTTAATATTTTTATTTCGGCTAATATTGCTATTATCTTTTGATTAAAATCTTGTTAGGCGAAACAAAGGTAAAATGACTTTGGTGGCGGCTTTACTTCCAATGCCTTGCAGACGATCAAAATGACTTATCTTTATTTCCACATGTAGGATGAGTAAAAGTTGTATGCAGGCATTTCATAATACGATTTAGCAGGTCAGCCAATGTTCAGGTTATGCTTTCGGATTAGAATTTGTTTTAAAGTAACTAGAAAGGTGACAGAACGTTGTATATGGCAGGAGTGTATGTGCGTCTTACATATGGTATGCGACTTTTTTTCGGAACAAGCTAATTGTTCAAATTATTGAATAGAATAATATGTTAACAGCTATCAAAGTATTATATAATGGATTTTTGCTATATTTTGTTTATTGTACCCTCCGTTATGTGCCTTTACTGTAGTATGCTGGACTATTTAACTTTAAAGCATGTTAATCTTCAACTATATTTTCTATCCCAGGAATGGATCACCTTAGCTGTATGTGGCAAATCTTTTCGGCATTTTGGTGCCTCAATTCTCTTCAACTTCGTATTTTATTTGGTCTTTTAACTTTTTTTATTCGAGCATCACTGTCTTTTGTAGACGAAACGCTCGTGTGACGTAAGTTTATAAACCTGATATCATTGATGATAGATATAGGAAGATGTGGTATGAGTGCCAATGAGAAAACTCTCCATCCAAGTTACAATTTATAAAAGTAAACCATTATAGGTCAAGGTACGGCCTTCAACACGGAGCATTGGCTCACACCGAACAGCAAGCTTTATAGAGTATTTTTAGGAAGAACAAAATATTGAAAATTATAAAAAATGCCAAAAAAATTTTAAAGCTGTATAATTACATTAACGGTACCAGTTTTACCGCATCAGATACTGAATATATTCTATTTCCCTTGTAGATCAGCAGTAAATAATTAAGATGTTTGGTGTCTTATTGTCTGTTGCGATTATCTGCATAATGAAAGGTAAGCTTGGTGTTACTGAGAATATATTTACTAGGTATTAGTTATTGGACACATTTGTGTATAAATTGAACAAGAATTTGTAATTGGTAAAATATGGATTTTTTTTGTCAAATATGACCTTCATGAAGCGTATATGACACATGATCTAGGTTTAATGTGTATGATTATTATTTCCCTTTAATATTGCGTAGTTTATGAAAAATGAATTCTTCCAAAATTGTTCCTGATATACTAGTAAACATATAATTAAGGTTAGGAAGTTGCGTGACTCTCAGTATTAAGGGTTTTTGTTATATTTTGTAGAATGTTGTTTGCATATTTGTCCGTGTTCTCTTTGCCATGGGGTAGTCTGTATATTTGTCCGTGTTCGCTTGGTCATTGGGTCGTCTGTATATTTGTCCGTGTTCGCTTGGTCATTGGGTCGTCTGTATTGTTTTAACTTATTGTTTTGATTGCCTCTAAGCATTTTCCTATGTTTTGGTTCAAATATTTTAATCGAATATATTCAATATTTGTAGGACATGTTTCGTGTATAAACATTACAGCATCACCGAATTATGTACATGGCGGCACACAACTGACACTAACATGTAACGTAGGCGTATCAATTGTTAACGGAACAGCAACCTTTCGCAGTAACTCTGGGGGTTTAGGCAGCATTAAGTATGATATTAACAATTGTTACGTGAATTCTTCTTCTACTCTCTGTTCATCAACGTGTGCATGTGATGAAAATAACAACCGAATGATATGGAGATACACACCATCATCTACACCATCTTCTAACGAGACCTTCTATTGTGAATTTAATGATGAAAGTGGTTCAATCCCTAAAAGTACAACAGTTACAGTGAAGCCGGCTGGTATGTTAGTATGTTGCTGTATATAACAATAATATTTTTTTTTTACATAAATGGAAGTCAAAGTTACATATTAACTAATTACGACTATTGCATTATATAAGCCACACATTTAGGAAATTTATAAAGTTACTATTCAAATACCTTTTGCGGTAGATTTTACTAGTCTTAACCTTGCTGAATAAAATGAAGTGCCAATGTTGAAATCGTTACAATATTGTGTGCAAGTAATACATTGAAAAGGAATTTAGACATTATTTTGTGTACTGTGTAATATTCCTACAAACAAACCAATGACCGTCGTTTGAAGTGTATAAGGTAAAGAATTAAAAATCATCATTATAAAAATATAAAACAACTTAGTTTACTATGCGAAACATCATGTATGTTTCATATGTGTTTTAATACATCAAATATTAAATAAATGTGAACAGTAAAAAAAAATCCCCTTTTCATTTCTAGTGACCGTTTGTTCAAGTTTGGATTTTTGTCATTCAGTCTAGAAGGAGTTGAAGATTATTTATATTTCCGCCCATATCTTAACCTCAGTTTGACAGGAAATTCGGGAATTCAATGGAACAAATAAAGAAAAATGTAAAAATTCTTTTGGTTCAAAACTATTTGACTTTAGTTTATTTTAGCTAAATTGCCTGCGAGGAGTTACGGAGTGGAAAATTGTTTGTCTAAAGTAAATCCAAATATAAAATTAATCAAAAATTCAAATAATTCCCTATATCTGACTCAAATTTTGCAGATCTAGAGATTTTATTCTTTGACAATAAGATTTGTGACCCAAGAATCACAAAAGAAATTACAGTGTCCCGATTACATGTGACTTTATAAATGAATGTGGATTCACATGCCGGTAAGGCATGCATAGCAGAAGACGCCTACCCTGTCAACGCACCCGTTTATTGTTCTCTTTTTTGGCGCTTAATTTTATTTCATCCAATGTCGGACGAACTCGAAATTGACATATGAAACGCACTAAGTAAACTGAATGTGAACAATACATGGATATACTTATAAAAACTAACCTTGAAATAAAATGAGCACATACTAAAAGTAAAAAATAAAGTATATACATTTAAAATACGTGTTTTTATATTTATACACCGTACATAAAGGTGGGCGTGGATGGGGGTTTACAGAATGAAGAATAATGAGCAAAAAATATAGAGAATAGAGAAAAATGAGCCAAACAATAAAGAATAGAGAATAATGAGGTACTAAAATATATAGAATAGAGAATAATGGGCAAAAAGTATAAAATATGGAGAAAAATGGCCTAAAAATTAAAGAATATAGATATGAAGGACCCCTTCAAGACCCTCATACAAATAAAGAATTTGCTGTAAATACGTTAAAACACTACACATCTGTTTTTGGTTTCAGTATTACCGGTACCAACGATATCACCAGTAACATCTTCATACAATGTGACAATTAGCGGAAAACTAGCCCCGATAAGATGCGTAGTGACGTGTTGGCCATCTTGCAATGTCAAATGGATTGGACCAAACAGTTTCTCTTATAATGGTGACAATTTAACACTGGCTAATATTCAAAAGACACGTTCGGGACAGTATCGATGTCAAGCGACAAATGTGGTAGGGGCAAAAAACAGTAAATATATCACAATTACGGTGCTGTGTAAGTATGTTTTAAAATAAAATATCAATTTATTTTTAAGTATGTTAAAGGAAAGTAATGTATAGAACGTAAGTTATCCAAACAATCTGTATTTCAAATCCCATCGAACATTGCTAAATATGATAAACCTTTTTAAACAACAATGAGATCACCTAAAGCATTACTGAATTCAAACGCAAAAGAAGTTGATGAGTTAGACAGATTGTTAATGTTCATGCATTATCTGATTAACTTATACAGATATCAAAGACTATAATCTCCGCGGTTAACACAATTATTATTATTATTATTATTATTTACAGTGTTTATATAGCGCCTATCTAAATAAACATTTACTCTAAGCGCTTTACAATGCATAAAAAAAAAACAACGATACAAGTACATTATATATATATGTATATAAACAAAATTAAAAAAGAAAATCTATGTGTCAATGTTGCAATAGAATCAAAATATAAACCGTAAAAAAAATACAACTCAGTATAGGAAAATTAAAAATTATTCATCAAAATTAATTTTAAAATATAGATAAATTTTGAAAAAAAAATATTAAAAGAAAATCAACAGAAGAGCTTCAATTTAGAAATTGGACTAATAGCTTTATGTCTAAAAATAAAAAGAGTAAAGGAAATAAAAATGCAATAAAAAATAAGTAAGTATGACATGTATGAGAAATGTCTAAAAATAAAAAGTGTAAAGGAAATAAAAATGAAATAAAAAGTAAGTATGATACATTAAAATATATACTGAGATCGAATAAAAGTCTAATACCGTCCGATTATTAATTATGTGGAAAAGCCTGTCTCAATAAATAAGGATAATGTTTTTCTTGAAAGCATTCACAGATTCCGTGTTTCGCAGTTCTTTCGGCAAGTCATTCCATAAAACGGCGGCCGCTCTATCAAACCGTCTCTCTCCGTATGTTTTTGTTCTAACTGTTGGTTTGACTAGAAGCATGTTGTTTTAGAATACAGTGTATACTTCGTTTCATTGTCAATCATACCACATCTTCTTTTTTTATATTGTGTGGTATTACAAAGTGCTTTTTAACATTTTGACGCCTTTTTGTTTTAACGCATGTCGTTACAACATTTCATTTGGATTGTTAAGCGGTAAGTCAACAAATAACGAAACAATAAATAAAATAAAATAAAAGTTTGTTCATTTTCAAAGTTTAATTATAAACCACACAATGAAAAATTATTGAAAATATTATAAAATGCAACGTTAGTGCAAATTGTGTTTCAAAGCTTGTTAACGAACGGCACGTAAGTTTTTTTCCTTTTATTTTGTTAAATTACGTTTAGTCAAAAATGATCTGCCAACAATTAATAAACCACATGCTATATGACATGATTTAAAAAAAATAGTAAACTTAAACAAATCGAATTTATGTCAAAATTTTAAAAGTAAGACATGAATTCAATTATGATTTCACATAGCACTAGTATATCGTACTATGTAACATTTCTCACACGTGAGTTGCACGAACAGTTCTTATGAATCGGCTAACAAATTTGAATTTCAAATATACACATCAAAGTTAAAGTGTCTACAAATTGCAGATGGTCCAGATACTATAGCCTTTTCTCCATCTACTACAAGTTATACAATGACAGAAGGTGAATCGATCAAATCCATAAAATGTTCGGCTGATTGCGAACCATCATGTTACTTTGAGTGGATATACCCTAATGGCACAAAACGAGTCGGTAATATTTTGCCACAACACATTTTACAAAAGAAACACAATGGTCAGTACAAGTGTAAAGCTTCCAATGGGATTGCAAATAATGAAAAAAGGATGACAGTTACCGTAAATTGTAAGTATGCTACTTAAGGTAGATGGGGTGTCTAAATTAAAATCCATAGAATTTTTTCATAATTTGTTAAAAAGTAGTTTATGTCATGCTTTTTTCAAAAATATAATAAAAAGTATGGGACACCGGGCTTTTTTTCGAGCTACAGGTTGTGGAAAATTGTCAGATTTTGTATAGATTATGCATGGAAAACCCAATTTTTTGTGATAAAAAGAAAACTAAACCATAGAATTTTAAGATAAAATATGAGAAGATAGCTCTAATAATATGCTTTCAGATAAGAAAAAGAAAAAATGGGGTCACCGAACTCGTTTTCTTGTTACATCATAGAATAGGTAAATTCATAACACATTCTATTATAAAAGTTACTTTATCTGAGTTATCTCCCCTTATGTGGCACAGTTGAAAAAATATGAATCAAACAAAAGTATTCTGTTTTTTGTAAAATACAGCCGTAAAATATGATAAAACACATAACTTTCTATATTAACACGAAAAGTCTTACACATGAATTACATACTACTCTCGAAATTTGCACATTTTATTAAAGATCTAAACCGATTATTATCTGCTATTCAAAATCCAAGATGGAGGAAGACACCCCAGCCACCTTAAGGGTTCTGAAAGTAGCAGAAACATTATGTTGACGATACAATTTAGTATATATTTTACAATACTTAAAAATACTTAACTGAATTTTGAGTGGAAAATTGCTTATGGTATGAACGGATATTCAAATTACAATGGAGAATGATCAGTTGTATTTCTTTATAGAACTTATTTATATCTCATGCTTAAACAGTTACGTCAGTTTGTTAGTCAAGGAAAATAAATAAAAATCATAAACATAAAATAACCAGTGAAGAACTGATAAAAGAGAGATCAATACTTTCCTATTATTTAAAAAAAGATTTCCAAAATTTTACAACAGCTAATTTCAATAAAATAATACCGGGAATTGCCAGTCAGTACCGAAGTAATAGGCTAAAGGGTTTGTGATATATGTTTACCCTAAGGGACTAACATTTCACCACCAGAAGTATCGACCCAGTGATAGTAATAACTTTTATGATACCAATTTCACTGCACCAGTTGAGCATTTTGACAAACGATGTCTCTTCAGTGATGCATAATATCAAAATATTTGAAAATCTAAAACCAAATGCAAACGTCGAAGTTCTGATGACACAAAATAGATCTTTCTTACAACAGACGAAAGGTACGTAAGCTTGACGATTCATACGTAAGACACGTTTGAGGGATCCTTAAGGTATTTTGACTTTTGAATGTTTTTTAATGAAGGCGGTGATGGGATTAAGATGGGTTTGACCTCAGTGTTTCCCTATCAAGGACGATTACACTGCATGCAACGACACATGTCAAACTTGCATTTTCGTACGCCATGTGAATTTTGGGACGTACGAGGTAACTATGGTAAAGGATACTATAAATTAACAAAATTTGCTAAGTATAGGCTCGTCCGAAGAAGAAAAAACACCCCTAAAAATAAAAGAATGTGCTCAACCAACCTATACCCCTTTTCCCACCAATAGACAAATTACATCTTTGCATTATTTAACTAAAGAAAATACCAAGATAAAATAGTAAAACTGAAATAAGTAACCCCTAAAATATATCATGGGCTCGTTTGATAACTTTTGTAGATATTACCTGCCTCTCCCAGCTGGGTATTACCCCTTGTCGCCTTGTATGCACCCGACGTAGATACAGGTCTCTACGCTGAGCTATGGAATCGTTCTTTCAGTGTGTTGTTACCTTTTCGTTCAAGTATGTTTACTGTTGAATCATGAGCATTAAATCCAGAATATATATAGTGCACAAAAATTGTTGATATACATTCAGACGTTAAAATGTGTATGCAAAGAAACAAAACAAGATCTATAACTAGTTGTTCTAAAATTAAAGCTCAAGGCAGACACATTCCTTGCCCCATATTCTGGATATCCGCCTTGATGTTTTATATACACAGCTAAGACATATACGAATAACTTGTTGCTATTTTTTTGTGTCGCATTATTTTCTTTTACATAAAAAGAAAAAGCTATATCCCAAAATCTTTTTTTTTCTTCCCCAAGATTGTTTTTCATAACTTTTCCCATAAATTGTAGCATTTTTGTCGGGCAAATCATGACGATTTACCTTGAAAATTTGATGATGGCATAGTCATTAAAAAATAAAAAATAATTATGAATTTTGTCGTTGAATTTAGAATAGCATACTTCAAGAATTTCACTAAAATGTTAATGGTTTAAACATTTCAATAAATGCATGCGTAAACACTTCCCGCGCAAATGTGTGTTATCGTGACTCACATAAGCAACGTATCGGACATATATGGAAGTGTATTTTAAAGTATTTGTATTGTTTTAGATATTAATTGCGTGTTTTATTTGCGATATGCTTATATTTTTAAAGATACATTTGATTCAGAAAAGAAAATCGTTTCACTCGTATCTATGGTGAGTTTATTTACAACCACTGGGTCGATGCCACTGCTGGTGGAGTTTTTATTCCCCGAGGGTATCACCAGCCCCGTAGTCAGAACTTCTGTGTTGACATGAATTATCATTGATATGGTCATAATTATAAATTAACTGTTTACAAAACTTTGAATTTTTGAAATACTAAGGCTTTTCTACCTCTGGAATAGATTACCTTAGCTGTATTTGGCTAAACTTTAAGGAATTTTTGGTCATCAATGCTCCTCAACTTCCAATATTATTTGGCCTTTTTAACTATTTTTGATTCGAGCGTCACTGATGAGTCTTTTGTAGACGAAACGCGCGTCTGGCGCCTGTACAAAAGTTCAATCCTGGTATTTATGATGAGTTTATTTACAGGATAAAATAAAGACTCTCAGTGTTATCGTTGGAATGCAATACATGCTCCCTTTATGTTCGTTTGTATTGTTTTGTTAAAATGTAAGAAAGCTCTAATAGGATCAAACGCACAGACACACCCGGTCAAGGAGTTGGAGCTATGTATAAGGGAGATACATTCCTTAGTTTAAAATGATTTCTAAAAGTTTATAACAGCATATTTTAATAAAATAGTATCCGTATTTTCATGCCAGTGCCGTAGTACTGGCTACGTAAATTGTTATTTCCTCGGGAACTGTCAGTACCAAACTAACTGCACCAGATGATATGTTATTGAACTATTAACTTGGTTAATCACTATAACTCGCCTAGACTTCCCTCCACATAACACATACTATTGATATATGTAACTAAAGAGTAAGCACTGTACCGGTAAGAAAAAAAATTAAAATAAGCTTTCCTCCAGAAACCAAATGACGTGGAAATTAGAAGCTATAGACACGCATACGCCTTTCAAGAACAAGCACAATCATTAACGCATAGCAAACTATTAAAGGCCCCGACATGACAAATGTAACACAATGCAAACAAGAAAACTAACGGCCCGATCTTTTCACAAAACAATAAACAAAAAACAACGATGCACAGCAACGAACGACATTAACTGAACTACAGACTCCTAGAATTTGTTTTTATATATTTTTAAATAAAACTATTTTCAGATGCACCAGAAAACATAAGATTATCACCTGCAGGTAACGAGTTTGTTGCAAATGAATTAAGTAACTTCAACAATGTGACATGCTTGGCTGATTGTTTACCAAGTTGCGAATACCGGTGGATTGGCCAAACAAGTTCAAGTTGGTCAACTACAAACCGCCGGTTACAGATAAATAGTATTAGAAGAACAGCAGCTGGATCTTATAAATGTTCTGTACGAAACACCATTGGCACTGATGACTCGTCAAATATCAATATAATAGTTTATAGTAAGTCTCAGTACTCGTCTTATAAGAATTAAGAGATGTGGTCTGATTACAAGCGGACAACTCCCCAACTAAGAGATGTGGTCTGATTACAAGCGGACAACTCCCCAACTAAGAGATGTGGTCTGATTACAAGCGGACAACTCCCCAACTAAGAGATGTGGTCTGATTGGAAGTGAACAACTCCCTACAGAGACATTGTTTTGTGTACTGCTACCACGACAATCTAGTCATTTTGAATATTAAGCTATATTATTTTGTATTACAAAGCTTGAGTGTGTTATCCCTCATTGCGGTAGAAAAATTACTAACATATGTATTGAATATAAACCTTGCTTCATATATTTATTTCATATTTAAACATTTTCCTGAAAAAAAAAATATGAGAGGGGAACAATAGCTTGTCGATGTTCAAGACTCTTGAGTTCATTTCAAATATACAAACAAAGAAAAGAACCCAAAGGAATCGCATGAAATCTATCTGGGCGAAACCAGGAGCGTCTCAAATCATCGTGTTTCATGTTTACAACATATTAATACCTATGTTTTCCTTACCTAAGATATGGAATAATATTGATCAGATCGGAACTTTTCAAAACTCACCTATCGTACAACATGTATAAATATTATTTTACTTTCAGGCATTACTTGCTACTCATCGTGGTTCTGCTTTGCAAACTAAATATAGTGATCGAGGTTATATAAAAACAACAGCATAAAAAGTGGATATTTGATTAAAATAATTTTACTCCCTCCGTCGTCATAAAAAAACCTGCCCCCCCCCCCCCCAAAAAAAAAAAACCCAAAATAAAATAAATACAACCCTAAACAAAATAACCACAGAAATAATGTAAAGCAGGAACGTCAAAATTCCTATGATTGAAACATATGGAAATGACCGATGTTTAGCCGCGGTATTATTGATATTCTTCTTTTAAATTGCTTTAAATAGGAACATTATTTTTAACTCTTCAAACACCTTAACACATTAAAGCTTTCATTAAGCATAATATGAATATCAAAAGAGATGTTAGGACACGTCAATGAGACGGCTACTACATAACACCAGATAGATTAAAAAAATGACATCGATATGTTTTTATTCGTCAATTTTTATAGGGCAATTACTTATCAAAGGAAACTCACGAAAAACTGCTGCATACGAAAGTATTATTTTTCAACGTCAGAGAAATGTACAGGTTGCATTTCTGTAGAATCGACAATGCAATTTCCAATAGGAACTCCTTTTACGGCTAAAACTGTACTACTTTTACTATGAAGTTTTGAAAAAAGTGATATCCTAGAATGGAAAGTTCATATGCACTACTATTTTTTTCAAAGGTCAAAATATAGGGCTGTGCGGCATATTTTCAACATTTATATGCCCCGAACTTCTAAGAGTTTAAACTTAATATACTACCCCTACCTTGACTTTAGGTCTTCCACAAATTTCAATTTGACCGCTATGCATGTGTATATTTACTGGTAACATTCCCAAGTTATGTCTCTACGAGATGAAATATAGAGATCATATCTGGGAACCAGTACGTAAACAAAAATAAATATCTATGAATATTTTATATCTCCCCAAAAGAGGCGTGGTTTGTGAAACAGCTGTATTTACAAAGAGCAACCTACAAATGAATGAAGGACATTTTTTAAATTGAATTAAGCAAGGCTTTTGTATATATATTTCAGCTAGACCGACACAAGTAGACAAAATAACTGTGGTTTGTACAAGTGCCACAACAGCGTCAATTGCTTGGATTCCAGATATGACAGTAGTACCTGGTGAAAACTTTACAGTAAAATACAAAACAAACAGTGGGCGAATGAATTACTTTCCTTTTGAGGGATCTTCAAACAAGGATGACATATACTTGCTACAGGTGGACAATCTTGCCCCATCTACAAAGTATACTTTTACAATGGAATCTAAAAATGGTTTAGGACAGACTGAATCGAATAAATACACATGTACAACTACGGGTGCGTGTATACTAGTAACCCAAGCAGTGATCATTTTAATAATATGAAATGATTTGAAAATCAATTATTTTTTATAGTTTTGTATAAACAAATAGTACACTTTTCTTGTCGTTCTATTGAGTGACTTTATTGAAAATACAAATAGTAACTATTTAGCGACTGAAAATCTTGAGCTTCTGGTGTATCTGGTTTAATAAGGAGTACATGCCTTTGGTTCGAGTTTTGCATGGGGTACACTTCTTTGCCCTAAGACTTAAAACAATGCCACGGAAATAATAGGCGTCCTCATTTTCGGCAAGCTTAAAGATATATTGCTAATAAATCGTTAATGCTTAGTCAAAGCTCGAGTTAAAACCTTCATTAAAAGAAGGAAATAATTTAAAATAAACATTCCGTATACTAGGATGATGGTTATAAAAATAAAAAATCATATTGTAGACACCATTAAAATGTCAGAAGAAAATACGAATTTTATATACTCATTTTGTACAAACATCCTTGTTTTTTGTGCTGTCACGTGGTAAACTATTGTGTATATTTCATGAAATATTTATCTTTTCGTTAATGATTCATAATATTTATACATTCAAGTATTAAGGAAAATATACACACTTTGTTGTCCAACAAACAACATTCAACCAATCATTCGATAATCTTCAATACCTATGGCTGTACTTGCTATTTTTCAGCTGCATCAGAAGATTCTGAAGTTAGTGGTGCTCTAATAGGAGGAATTGTATTGATATCAATAGCTCTACTGCTCATCATCATAGTCATAGCGTTGATTGCACTACGCAGTAAGTAGAAAGTTTTGACGTTTGAATTGACAATTTAACAAAAAGAAATTAAAGTGCAATTCACCAAACAAATCATTAACATAAAAACCTTAACTGCACCATCTTGAAAAGAAACACATTTAGTAAAGACTGTAATAAGAATGTTATTCTCAGTTTGTCATTTTTTATACTATTTCTTACTATGTTGTTGCCTAAATGAATATTTTTAAAAAGATGAATTTCATACCATGGGGGGGCAACCAAATACCTCTAGTGGAAGAAAACAGTCAAAACCATGGACAAAACTGTCTAATACACAAACAAGAAGAGAATAAGCAACACAAACCTTGGTACTTGGTAACGATTCAATCGATAAAAAGGAATAATCACTTACAATCACTTACACAGCAAGTTTCAACGTTTAGTTTAGTACTGTGGGCTTTGTTATAAACACGAATTAGAATATAATATGCATTTTAATAAGCCTTGTTCTATGCCCACACTATTTAACCAAAGTGGTAATATAATGTGTTTGAACGCTAATTTGCCAAGTTGAACACATTACAGAATACTATTTTCCTAAAACAATTATCAAAAATATTATAGCCATTATAACAGTTTTTGAAGGTCAAGTGCAATTGATTTTTTTTAGAGTTTAGAATACTCACAACTGATCTTTCGAGTTCACCCTGTGGATGTCCTAGTTGTATTACGACGTGCATCCAAAGAGTTTCAAGGTATGTTATAGCTTCTGAAGAAAATATACATCAACAACTTGTATTAATTCATGTTTACTCTGGTGGTCACTTCATACTACCAGATTGTCAGTGGATTCGTTAAATCTTGTCCTCTTTCTATCTTAAAGTATAACTTGAGTAAAATGATGACATTTTGTGCAAAAGAGAGGCGACATCCAGATCAAAGGTCGATGACAAACTTAACATGGCAAACAACGAAAACCAACCACAGGACAAACACCAGTTAACAAAAAACAAAAAAGAAAAACTAAAGACTGAACAACACGAACCCCATCAAAAACAAGGGTGACCTCCGTGCACCGAAAGGGTTAGCAGATCTACTCCACATGTGAATTTAACTTTAGCTAGAAGATCTACAAATATAATTAGAACTATGCCTTTGAAACATAAATGTTTAGTTCATTATCAGTAATTTGAAACAACTATCAGATAGTTTCTGTCATTATACGTGTTTTGTTTGCCTGTTTAATAAACGCATTAAATTTATGCAGCATTAGTTTATTGATGTTCAAATATCATAACTCGATTAAAAAAAATACAAATCAAGAAAATGGAAAACAAGACCTAATTGATTTTAAAAAAATCCACATCTTTCTTGTACTTTGTTATAATTGTAAGTACATAAAATATTAGAATTTTCGAATTGGGGAAAAATACTCCGTTCAGTAATAAAGTGAACTTTAATTACCGATGGACTGCGTTGAATAATACAACTAAACATTTCTGATAAGGTAAAACAATCAGCATGTGCGATTGAACGTTTCACACTCATTCTGAAAGTGAGCTTGAACGAACTTCTCCATTTCGTTATTGTTTGTCAAAAATCGACATGCTTTACCAAGGGGACAATCACAATCCTCTTTCTAATCATCATGGTAAAATACAAAAATACGAAAAGACAAACGCAGTCAATAAAACAACACACTGAGCAATACGAAACTAACTTGGAGTGTCAAATGCTTTATTTAGTTTACCTCATTCGTTTAATTTGTATTATTGCTGCGACGGAAACCTGATTATGTTGAAACGACTGACTTTCTATTCATGACAATCTTAACTCGAATAAAGAACCCCAATGTTTATTTTTGTAAATATAGAAGAATGCAAAGATACGGTGTATATTTCCAAATAAACGTGTATGCTGTAATTTGGTATGAATTAATAAAGTGTATGGTGTATGGCGCATATGGTGCATATATAAATATATATATTGTCTCGATTTGGGCAATTGAGAGCTGCCAAAATTGGAAATTTTAAGAGTTCTTTAACATTTAGATAAACGACATATGGTTGTTATTATCATTGTTCCTTTTTCATTTTGTAGGTTATCAAATAAAGGTGAAAGTCCATACATGAATACGAAACAAACACACTATGTGAACACCACCATCAATGGACCCCAAGGTATTCTAATAGTAAAGACACAGTTAAAACAAGTTATTGTTACCTGTTATAAAGAGAATGATACAATGGCTCAAATGCTAAATACGATGGATGCGCTTATCACAGCGACTTAATATTGCAGGACTTATTGTTGGGTGATTTTTTCGAAATGACTGCTGTGGTAGTCTTGGAAATATTCAATCCACAAAGCAGGTGGATTTATTTTCTGTTTTGCCGTACATTAAAGCGTGTACTTGTTTCAATTTTTTATACATCTGATATTATTCATTTTAATGTACAGCAAGAAAAAAAATAATGAAAACAACACTTTATAAATGACATGCGCCCAAAACGCTTTTTATGATTAACATTTAGCAGGAACGCTCAAAGCCGAATACTTGTAAGCCAAGGATGTATACAAATCGAAACAGTTACAGAGGCATATGACCTAACAGGACCTACAAATAATAGCCAAATCCATCTAAGGTCATCAACTTTGCATATTTTCTGTTAAAGGTATCCAAAAGTAAATTCGCTTCATATTGTTTGGTTAACATGATGCTCTTGTAATTTTTATGTTCATTGCCATACTATAAAACAAAGTTGTCGCGCATATACTTGAGTATGATCACCTTGAAATATCTCATTGATCATTGCAAACATTTTATTGTAGAGGGCAACGTCAATATGGAAGTAACAAATGATGATAATGAAAGGTATACTAAATTACTCTGTTAAAAGAATGGGGTGTTTAAAATGTGATTTATATCATATTAAAAAAATCGTATTTATAACTTCAGTGAACAAATAGTCGTCCAAGATTTAATGTCTAATGGAGGACGTAATGTAGGAACATAAATCCAAATAAGAATTGTTCACATTGGCTGTTATTTTTTCATTACAATTTTCCTTTTAAATAGACATTTTAAACAAAGCTTTAAGGTTCTGTAAAAAATCTGTAGTTTATTCAACTACACACTTTTGTCCAGTGCAAGTTAATGCAAATACATAAATAAAAAAAAAAATTAAAAAAAAAATCGGAAGCCAATTTTTTATGGGCGCAAGCAAAAGAGAGGCGAAAGATACCAAAATGGACATTCAAACTCATAAGTCGAAAATAAACTGACAACACCATGGCTAAAAAAGAAAAAGAAAGACAAACAGACAAACAACAGTACATAAAACACATCATAGAAAAAATAAAGTCTCAGCAACACGAAACCCACCGATAACTGGGGGCGATCTCAGGTGATCTGGAAGGGTAAGCAAATCCTGCTCTACATGTGGCACCCGTTGTCTTCCGTCTTTACGTGATATTTTCAACACAAGTAAACCGTATTTTTTTTATTTATGTCTGTGTGACTTACGATACCTTCATATTCTGTAAAACTCTTATATTCCACTTCGGTGTTCCAATAATCGAAACAAAAGAAAGCGTCATGTACAATATGATGATAATAGATAAGGTTTAAGTTTCCGATACACTCTTGGAAATACATATTTTATACATAAGTCGTATATTTGAATAATATGTTTTTGGTAGCTTTTATTTATTTCTATTATCGAGATTCCCTTTTTAGCCCATTTAATATATTTTATATTTTGACTACAAATGTTACGGTCGATATTATATTTCAATTTGTTTTAGCAGACATGAATATAATATAAGGAGATGTGGTTTGATTGCCAATGAAACAACATAAAAAATGTACCCAATGTAATCCAAAAGATAACGATATAAGTAGTTACAGTTAATTGCATAGCATTCAACTTTGAAAATACCCATACCGTATAGTAAACCATGATTGGCTCCAACATGACTACATGTAAAACAATTCAAAAAAGCAACATCATGACTTATGACAAAACAGTAAACGAAAAACAAATAAAACAGACAGCACAAAACAACAACCACTTAATTACAGGCTCCAGACTTGGGACAGCCCTTACAGAAATGAAAAGTTTGCTGCAATATTGCAACAATATAGCGGCAATATTGCAGCAAACAAATTTGTTTGCAAGAAGTGTTTGCAAGAAAGTTGCAGGTTGTCGCAGCTACCTGCAACATTCTCGCAATGTTACTGCAACAAAATTTGTTTGCAAGAAAATTGCAGCAAGTTTGCTGCAATGTTGCAAGAAAGACTTTGTTTGCTAGAAAGTTGCAGGAACCTTTTCTTTTATTATTTAAGGAATGACTTTTTGCAACAACTTTGCAAGAAAAGTTTCTTTAATAATGTCAGACAATCAGATAGTTTGCACCAATATTTCAAGCATTTTAAAATATTACATATGATTATTTGTTTTAAGATTTAAGGTTCAAATAATACACAACATATTGTTTCTTTGGACATTTGGTTATGGATACTTCTAACTATCTAAATTTGTTGTCGTCATACTTTATTTTACTCAGAAATATCTGGATATTTGAATAATTTATTTTAAATAAATCTTCAAATAACAATGCTTATATTTTTAGATTTCCTAAACTGTACATCACATTTATATGATATTTTGTAAGGAAAGAATTTCAAGAATACTTTGGTATTTATTTCAACAAGTTTAATCTAAATAATTGAGTCATAATAATTTTTGTTCTACATGTATTATTATGCTTTTTTGTCAATTTTTTGTGACATTTTTCTATGAACAATATTTTTAATTCTAATATTTTCCATCAAATGAATTTAGCCTCACCTGCAGGTTGCATTTTGTTTAATTTCTAGTATCATTATTTTAAAACCATGTATACACAAATTATCTTTCTCATCTCAATTAGTAATATGAGCTGGTGATAGAAATGTAATGTGCCATCTGGTTTCAATTTATCTCTGTGTAGTGGTAAAGACAGGAAGTACCATAAATTAATGTACACAGAGTTTGAGGCCAAATTAAGGGTAGAGCATTTCTTCTTTGTATATATTTCCATTATAACTTATAACATCAAAGATAAAAAAAAATATATACATATAATTATTTTTTTATTATAATATATAACAAATATTCAAGATTTAGGCAATTGATATTTATAATTAGGGGCAAATTTCAAAGGGATCACACTGTCACAATACCCTAAGCAACCTTGATCAACATATTCAAAATTTGAACTGGACATGAACATGCATACAACAAACAAAGATGTCTTCTATCATGAACAAAGTAATATGAATTTTACAATGGATTTAGATCCAAAAGTTCCAATTAATTCTATTGACACTGGATAGTGCATATGATAGCCTTCAGTTGACATGACTCTTGGATTTAGGAAGATTAGTGATTTCACATAATTTGGATAACATCTTTTGGTAAGTACAATGGAGTTGAATGTCCACCATTTTGAATAAGTGCTTGCTCTTACAGTTCAAAATAGTGATATTCAAAGAGTTTTCTTAACTTAATAGAGTTGACAAATTTGTATAAGACAATAGATTTATGCACATGAATATTATTAAAATTGTGTAAGTCAGGAGATATTTTTTTAAATCTATTTAAGACTATATGTTTTAGAAAGTACATTACTTAAATTGAAACAAGAAATCTTCTAATAAAAGCAGTTTGGTATTAAATTAGAGATCTGTGATTTGACTGCCAATAAGAGGTCTTTCAACAAATGGCAACAATATTTAGCTTTTATATATACACAACTAATCACAAAATTTTTAAAGAATAGACAAGACCAATTATGTTATAGTTCAATGAAAAACAAATATTCAAAAAAGCAATAAGAACCTAGTACTGGCATAAGGTTAAATGTATAGTAATATGCAATTTCTAGAAGGACTTGATAACTTTTAGACATTGACCCTTTAAGTGAAACAAATGCTGGAAAAATTGGTCTGTAATCATATCTTTATAAAGAGTTATTTTCATTTTACAAGTCCAGAATTTACAATATATAGTAGTAACTTATATCTTTATATCTTTATAATGTTTAGTTATTCTTTTAATGTATGCTAAATTCTTCAACTTTTATTTTGCAGTATTTGAAATCAGAAAATTCAACTTTAAGGACAGTGAGTACAGAGAAACAGAACTAAAGGATACACAGATATGTAACACAACAACCTATAGAGGACAGAGAAAATTTTGTTTTATTATTAAATCATACTTTTTTAAATGCTTAGTTTTTTAATTCCTAATTTTTCAACTGAAATTGTTGAAAGATTTGCTGCAATATTGCAAGAAATTAATTTTCCTGCAATATTGCTGCAACATTGCAGCTAATGAATTTGCCGCAATATTGCTGCAACAATCATAGCTACTGATTTTCCTGCAAACATTTGCTGCAATATTGCAATATTGCAGCAACTGTTTGCAAGAAAACTAATTTGCATACGAAAAATGAATATTTGCAGCAATATTGCCGCAAATATTTGCAGCAACATTGCCGCAAATATTTGCAAGAAGCCTTATTTTTCCATAAGGGAGGTTCATATAGAATGTGACGGTGTTGAACAGGTTTGTGAGCGCTCTACACTCATCTAACCTGAAACAATCGATAGAAGTAATATCTTCAGCATTATTAGAAAAAATATACATGTACAAAGATTTTTTATTCTGAATATGCTTATATACTTACTTTATAATTGCCTTTTCAACTGGTTTTCATTCGAGCGTCACGGATAACCGTTTCGAAGACAAAAACAGTGGCGTACAAACTTTAATCCTGGTATCTATGATGAGTTCATATATTATAAATCTTAATTGATCAGTTTCATTGTAAGGAGTTTCTACGTTAGCATTATTACATTTTCAGCGAGAAGCATTATGATGAACTTGTAAGAAGACCTTCGAACTCTGATAAACCATATGATAGCTTACAAATGTCTCCAACAGGTAAATATCATGTTTGGTATGCATATTACGCTGCATTGTGGACAATGCTTTGTCTTCCAAAGTTGATAAGGATGAAAATATAAATTAACACGAAACACGTGTTTGGCGCATGGTTACCAGCATTAATCATTTAGAGTTTTTTCTTAGAATTTGATAACCAATCAATACTTGTAATGCGTCATGGAGAAATGGTCGATACATTATGAAAGAGAGGCAAAATATACTAAAGGGACATTCAAACTTATAAGTCGAAAATAAACTGACAACGCCATGGCTAATAAAGAAAAAGACCAACAGACAAACAACAACACACAACACAATATAGAAAACTAAAGACTAAGCAACACGAACTCCACCAAAAAATCGGGTGTAATCGCAGGTGTTCCAGAAGGGTAAGCTGATCCTGCTCTACATGTGACACCCGTCGTGTTGCTCATATAAGTAAAACCCCGGTGATAAGTCTAATTCAGATAACACATTCAGGGAAAAGGATACAGGATAGTGGTTACGAACATATACGTCGTAATCTGTGAAACTGATATTCCATAACATAACAGTCAACTAACTCATGATGGCGTCCGTAAAATTTACAAAGGGATAATGTCAACTTCACCACTTGAAACCCCTGGTTTAATAGCTTCCTTGTAAGCATAACCCTCTGTCAAGGAGGTCATGATAGGAAATGCAAGCCATGGAATATCGTTTCAACAGAGAGATATATACTCCATATGCAGGCGCTGCTGGTATGTTGCTACATAGAACTGGAAAGTTCAGAATTGTGGAGTTGAAATCATTTCTTTTGTCGTAAAGTTTTGTTTTCAATCAACCCTCATTGTCAATTTATAGATGTAAGTTAAGATATGGGGCAGACTAAACTGTATCTGTTGTATTCTTTATCTCAAGTTCGATGACATAAAGAAAACATAAAAACAATAAAAGCAGGACCATGTGTGTAAGACCTAGGTTTAGGTTTGGGTTAAATATAGATTTATATTTTGGTTGGAGGTAGGTCCTATCAACTTTAAACTACATAAAAATGTTCATCATCATCATGAAGTGAACTTTTTATGCTTTTATTGTTTTTATTCGTTCATTGTCTTTGTTTGTCTATAGATACGTGATAAACCAAATAATATCATTTTTTTATTGCCGCTAATCCGTGATACACATTATGTACATGCCTTAAAAGATGTAAAGAACTTCCGAGTTATTTTTCACACCATTACACAGTGCACTATACCCCAATACTCACTTCTCAAGGCATTGTACACAATACACCATTACCCTTTCTCATTTAAATTATACACGGTTAGCAACATGAAATTACTAAAAATAACAAAGATTGAGATTACAATACAAACTGTATTTTTTACTTCCCTTCTGAAAGTAATAAACTTATTTAAATAAATTTGTAATCACTTAATCTATATAAAGAAAATATCTTTCTTTATATTGTTTCGTATTCAAAAACATTTAAATATTTGAAGTCCGTTTCTCATGTTGGATATTTTCAGAAATACCGTGTAATTGAATACGTGCGAATTCGTCGATAATACAAAATTTGCAACAATACGTCCATACAAAAAATAATACATACATATATACAGTAATTTCCCTTTTAAATCTTGAAAGAATAAGAGAATGTGTACTATATAGAAGAACGCAGGATAAAATCAATTCAGAACCCAACGATGGTAACTTGCACAGTAGAAAAAATGTACTTTGAGAATTGTATGGGCTATTAAGAACGTGTTTTAATAATGAACTCTTAAGGATACATGTAGCTAAACTATTTTAACAATTGTTTTTTAACCATTATATAAACTTGTCTCAATCAACAATGTAAACCACTTGATGCCATTTTAATGTAACGGATATTGGTATAACCAAAGTGACAAAAATCTTATTTTGAACCTTAGTGTGAAACAAATACTGGGAAAAATGGACACCATATCTCTTTTGTTATATGAATGTAGATGTGTCTGTAAGTAATTTTGTTGTGTTTCGATTTCAGGTACACAAAATGATCCATCGTCACATTATGCTAATTATGAAAATGTCAAGAAAAATAAAAAGAAAAAAGAAAAAGTGGCACTGAAACCTCCTCCAGTGAAACAGAAGCCAAAAAAGAAGTCTAACAGTTAACCTAAATTAACGTTCTATACTAGTATAAGGTGCAATACTACTGATTTAATATTGAAACCCGAGAAGAAGTATGAAAAGAGAGCCCAAGTTATAAATTAAGAAATTATTGAGAATCTAAAGTTCTTACTTTCTCAGGCAAATTATATTTGGCTACTATTTTACGATCCCTTTTTGGTCATAAAGCCCAGTAACGTTTCTCGTATGTTTCATCCCCGGCTTTTAAATTTTGTTGAAGCGTTCCCGATAAAGGTAGCTCTTTGGAACCACGAATTTTTATTAAGTGTTATTCGGTGTTTAAGTCGCATCCTACATCGTTTTGATTTATTGCATTTAGTTTCAGCAATGAAACCACCAAGTTTGAGAAATCGCAGATTTATAAATTTTCGAAGTTTGATTCGAATACTTGCACAACTTTTCTTTGAGGAAAATAACTACAGAGAAAAGAGTAAGAATTTTATATCAGCATTTAGAATATACAGGAACTTCACATCTTTAAATCATTGCCACTTGGCCCATATGACTGCAAAAATAGTAAATTCCCAATCCATTTATTTGAATATTTAGTACATTTTCCTGAAAAAAAAACCAGTGATAATTCTCATATCAGATAAAATGATCTGAAATATCTGAATTTATATTGAATTTTAATTGATTTTACTGAACTGCCATAATTATGTAAATAACTATATATTGGGGAATTATTTTAAATTTTGTTTAAAAAAAATACAAAATGAACAACAGTCTTACTCCTCAAAAAGGTTTCACCCCCAGCAATATCTTTGTATAAGATGCCTTATTATAAAGCCAATTTTTGGGTCAAACTGTTTTTAATTTATTTTTGCATTAATGGTAAGATCTAAAAACTATCTTTTAATATGTTTGTAGATTTCACTTTTTTATTTTGTTTCAATTAACTGTTATCAACAGCCTTACAAAGAAAGATATACTATTCTTTTAAGAGAACGTATAGCAAACCTGTACTTTTTATGCTGTTTCTCATATCTATATAGGTATGGGATGATATGAAAATTATAGTTCGACAGTGCTTGTAGCTTATACATTTTCCCTTACATATAACAATGGAAGGCTGAAAGCAAATATGTTAGACCAAGTTTAAATTGTTGACATACTTATAGTATGGTAACTAGATCAAGGTTATTTAATATGATTGTTTATAAAACTATGTAATGTAATTTAAGTCAAGGATAAAAATATGATCCTACAAACCATATCATACTTACTGTATACACACCTCATATGACAGCTGAGAAAATTTATATATTACTTGAATAAATATATATGAACTAAGGATCGGGGGGCAAATCGAGTCTGGTATATTATATTCCGTGTTTCATAAGGGGAACCGAAAAGAAAGACATCCGTATATAAAAAAGTATCTATTGTCAAGAATGCTGTTGATCGAGGCTTTTTATTTAGGCGTTTTATACCATTAATTCTTTCTGGTTAGTTAATTAACAGCTGAGATAAGTCATCATTTAGATACTGAAAATTCCCTAAAAGGAAGTGAATAGTTGAATTTAAGATAAGAAAAAATCTCAGAATAGAACAATAGGATATATGGAGGAAGACATCATTGAGATTGAAAAAAAAACTCATCCACGATTCAGGCTTATAATTTTGCGTTTCATCTACAAAAGACATCAGTGACACTCGAATAAAACAAATAAAAAGGTAAACTAAGTACTGAGTTGAAGAGCATTGAGGACCTAGCATTCCTGAAGATTTTGCCAAATAAAACTCCTTGACTTGAAAAAAGAACATAAACATGTTTCTACATGAAAGTAGTTCTAGAGAATTGATCGTCAGTATGTATTGAATACTTTTTGTATGCGTGCATGTACATAGCAAATTGAAAGCTTTTTCACTCGATATTATTGTTACGTTTTTGTGTATTCATTAAAAAATTATGAAGAAATATTTATGTTTTCCGTTGTTATCTGTTAAACAATATATAAAAAAACAACTGGAAGGCAGAAGGATATGTAAATGTAACTATTGTTAAGGCAACAACGGTTCACCGATATCAAATGTCATTAATTCATTATGAAGATACAAATCAAAGTAAAAACTTTCCTAGGGAATCGTAATAACTTTTACACAAATGAAGTCCATGTGCGGTCTCCTGTTATTCACGTATATCACCAATACATATTCATGATATTAAACTATATCTTTTAAGCACATTGAAATTGTTTTAACTGGTTGTGTCATTTAGTGTGATCTACACCTACACTTCCAACTAAACCTGATTTCTCAAAAAGAGATTTTAATACTTACAAGATTAGGTCAACCTTCATGTGTTGGAATTTTTTTGGCGAGTTTATATACCTTATCGATTGTTATTTGCATGTTCATGTTTTCGTTTTTTTAGGAATTTTGTCATGAAAAGATAGCTTTGATAATTTCTATTGTTTAAAACTTGACTAGACACGAGGCAACTTAGAGCTTGACATATAATATATTAAGGTGGTTATTGTGGAATAATGAATGTCGACCATTCGTTGTCCATTACTTCAGTGTTTTTGTATATTTGCTTTTTCCTTGACATACGTGCTATAGTTTAGTCTTTGATTTTCTAAGTTCTGTTTTGTATACTGTTGGTTGTTTTCCATTTTTTTGCCATGGCGTTGGCAGTTTATCATTGATTTATGAGTTCGAATATCTCTTTAGGACCTTTCGCCTCTCTCATATACCTCATATTAATAATGTATAATAGATAGTCTATTCTATTTTTACTGATTGTTATAGCTTTGAGAAAATGTTAACCCTGGTCGAGACATGCATGTAACATGTGTAAGAGGACACGACACTAATTGATTTTTCCAACTATATTACAGTGTACATTGTGGTGTCCTTTTCAATCAAAATACAGCTCTCGGATTTAAACACAATCTCTGAGAATTGTACTTGTCAAATCTTTTCTTGTTATTTCTTTACCTCACAATATGTAACGACTTTAAGACAGACGATCTCCATTTGATAACCTCCATGGGTTATATAGGGCGTACACACTTTTACATATACCTTGTGTAAGATTCAGCCGAACAACGGTAATATGCAAAATGGGGTAACAAAATTTTGTTCTTCCCATAGGGGGATTTGGACCAATGCTTCTCTAACATCGTAGCAACACCACTTGTAAACATATCGTGCGGCAGAACAGAAAGTGGTTACCATTTCCTTAGTGTTATAATTATGTATTTGTCCGAAAATATACGATAACAAAAATGTGTCCATAGAACACGGATGCCCACTCGCACTATCATAAAATTAGAAAGATCATATCATAGGGAACATGTGTACTAAGTTTCAAGTTGATTGGACTTTAACATCATCAAAAACTACCTTGACCAAAAACTTTAACCTGAAGCGGGCACTATCATTTACTATGTTCAGTGGACCGTAAAATTGGGGTCAAAACTCTAATTTGGCATTGAAATGGGAAAGATCATATCATAGGGAATATGTGTACTAAGTTTCAAGCTGATTGGACTTCAACTTCATCAAAAACTACCTTGACCAAAAACTTTAACCAAAAAACTTTAACTTGAAGCGAGACAGACGGACGGACGAACGAACGGACGCACAGACCCAAAAACATAATGCGTCAAGGTGGGGCATAAGAACTATTTCGTTTTAATTTAACATCGAATCATATATTTCCAATAATATGCTTAGTGATGAAGAAGATACACTCTATCTTTAAGCAAGCTCAAAGTGTTTTTTAGTGGTTTCAAACGGATTTTGCCTATACTGACTACCTTGATATTTGAATCCTGACTTATGTTGGTCTGTCGTGATCAAGTCCTGGAAACACAAAATTGCAACCAAGTAAGATACGGTATATATACATGTACATTATATAATCATTCAAAAGCAGTTGTTTCATTCTAACAGGAAGACGGATTAATATCCGGGCTATTTGGTTTCTAATTCTTTGCATAAAACTTTTTTTGTATGCTTTGTCTAGAAAATAACATATCTAAAATAAACACCAATTGCACCCTGTCAAGAAAATTTGACCGCTCAGCTTTCTATGCTGTATCACAATTTAGCTTTCGTTAATCAAGTATTTCATATTATCTTTGGCTACATTTGTGCTTATTACACAGTACATAATGTATTGTGGCATAAAGATGCAATACCTTGTTTGCCGAGTGGTTTAGATTGCTTGACAGAATGCAGACATTACTTGCACATTGTCAGAGACGCATGGGTTCAAATCCCGCTGAGGGTAGAAATAAACCTTTCTACCACAAGTTTGAAGATCGAACATTGTTCGGCTGAATTGAAGATTCAATGATTGTGTGTTTTGCTTTATAGTAAGTGGCAAGTATTGTATGCCTGTCCACGACGATGATGAATTAACAATTAATTCAATAGGTAGGTCCTGCAAAAAGGGTCGACCAGGATGAAGGGAGGGAAATTAGGAATGTGACAGCAAAATAATAGTACATTAGATAAGGACAGTTTTTCAGCCTTGTAACATGCCCCCTACTGACCCCTGAAAGAGTTGTTTTATATAACAGAGAGCGTGACACTCTCTCTACAGGGGGGCTTCAGATTTAACGTTCCCATTGTTACTGGACATTGCTGTTAATTTATACATCCCGCACAAGCAAACGGACGTCCCACTATGGCAAGGGTCGGAAGAAGGCGAAGGGATGACCATATGTCTATACCGCAGTCAATCTTTAAGATGAATTAGATGCTCAGGGTAGATGTATACTTGACATTTTCAGTCATGCAATCATTTCATTGTAATAAAACTAAGTTAATATCACTCAGTGAGAATAGAAACGAGTATAAACAATAAGTGTTCTGTGTAGGCTTTTTGTTTCTCACAAACAATTGTTTTATGCATTTGATCCATCTGAAGTGTTGGTCTCAAGCTTACTTTATGAAAGTTTTTTAAGTTACAGATGTTTGTACACACACGCCAATGTTCAGTTGATGGTTTATATGTCGTTGTGGGAGGAGTTGATACAAATTAAGTTTGAAGCACCTGCATTGAAAGAATTACACATTTCTTTATTAAATTAAAAACCCTTGAAGGAAATTATACGTGACTGCTTTTTTTTCCTTTCCTATCCGATATTGAAACCAGTATTTTGTTGTATGATGATTAATTCGAAATAAGCTCTTTGCTTTATTTCAGTTTATATCTGATTAAACAAGGACGTGTTTGCATGGTTTGTGTCCTTTTTTAAAACATAGAACAGAAGGATAAAACACTTCTTTTACAAATTATTTTAATTACTGCGTACGCATCTACAACAATTTTTTTCTTTTAGCCAAATAATTTAAACGGAACGTCCAGGATTTTATAATGCTTTAAGCATCCATTCTTCTATTTTGTGTTGGGTCCATCTGACTCATTTGGCCATTTACTTGAAAGGTGAGTCTACCCATTAGTTATTTCTTTCCATTCAGTCAGATGATACATACAAAGCTTTAGGGATTCATCTTAAATGATTGCGATGTATATCTTTTTAATGCTTTTTTTTCAGGAATTCCTATTTCCAGTTATTTATTAAAAAAAATACAATCCAAAAACGTACGATATGATTTTTGTATATAAGACGTCTTTCTGGAATAACCTTCATCAGTAACTCTCAAATCAAACGTTTGGAAGCAAAACATATAAAACGGTGAAGAGCACAAAAACAAAAAAGCCTAGCCATAGAAAAAAATTTTTTTTTTATTGGTAATGTTGCCCTTAACTTAATTTCGTCATCAGATTTAAAATAATTGAACTATTGCGAGAATATGGAATATAGAAAAAAATAGAAGATCATATTTGAATCGAATTTTTGGGGAAATGAGAAATAACATTAACGGTATCATTTTTACTGAACCAGATGCGAATAGCGACAAAATAATTCTCTTCAGTGATGCTCGAGGCCAAAATATTTGAAACATCAAAACTTATACAAAAGTTTATCAAATCTGAGGAAGTAAATTAATCAAGAGTGAACAGTAAAATGATTGGAGGAATATACATTTCCGGAGCACATTATTTTTTTTCCTAGAATTGATGGCAATCAATATTACCGAAATCTTTCGCTTTTTAATTGAGTTGCTCATTTCCATTTTCTTCCGTATTTATTTGTAAAACTTAATTCTTTATAAATGAATTATTGTCTCAACTGCCGCTTGGATTCCTCTTTTAATGAACACATACTATCGCATTTATTTCATGCAGAGTCCTAACAATAAGACAAAGAACAAAATATAAGTGCTGTTTCTATCGTGCCAACTACACCGATTCTGTGTCATGAATAAATATGCCGTGCCATTCTCTAGTTAATTGCCAGTTGATTACTGCAAAAAAAAAAAAATAACAAGATGAACTGTGAGATATTGCTCACCAATGAAACCGTGCTATAAGTATTTGGTAGACAAGGAGTTGATAATCGACGGATGTGACAACACACATACAGCCTGATACCAAATTTTAAGACGCTCAGATCTATCATAACCGAGACAAATCCGAGGGAAAATTACATGGTCACTATGTGCAAGACAGTTAACATGAAGTGAAAGATCGATGAATTTACAAAACAAGCCACACTGTATACCATGCTCTCGTGAAACTTTGCACCCACTTTCAAAAAGCTTTTGATTTTTAATTTCTATAAAAAACTGCAACTGAAAATTTCAGGAGACGAATGGAAGAACACAAAAACTGAAAGACAAACGGTTATGGGTAAACCAGTATATCGCACTTTCGCAGCGGGGTATAATAAAGAAATTGAAAAATGCGTTTTTTAACTGGAGACAAAATTATTTCTTTGTTTCGATAATACTGTATTTAATTGAATATTGTTAATCAATAATGAATCATCATGTATAACGTATAATTTTGTGACCATGGCACACTTTTTCCGTAGGCGTAAATATGTGTTTCCTTCAAT